AGGAAGTCCCGCCTCATATTCATAATGATTTAATGCTCTGAATTATTCTGTAAGTCAGAGCATACAGTAATGTCCTCTCTCTATTTTTTATTATATTCAAAGAACCCGTTGCGGGAGTAGGTAAATAGGAAGATAGATTGATGAAAAAAATGAAGCATTAATATAATATTTAAAGGACATAAAACTAAAAAAATTCAAAAATAGGTCAACCCGAAAGTAATCGCTGGCACTAGCTCGTCGTCCACCATGTTTGCCCATCCGGAGTATACTAGCACGTTCGCCGAGCGAGTGGATGCCGTGGTTGTGTTGGGTGATTGTGGTCGGTGTCTTTTTTTTATAGGAGAGGGGGCAAACGAGCATGAACAACCGCAACATCAGGGGAACCAGGGGATATACAGATGCGTTGCCGGCCTTTTAAAAAGGAGTAGACTCTTTTCTTGAAGGTCCCTAAGTCGTATCGGTCCGGAAAAATCGCTGGTGGTAAATTATTCCACAAGAAAGTTGTGAGAGGAAGAAAACATCTTCGAAATCGCACAGCGGTAGACCGCCAATCATCCAGATGGTGTGGATGGTATCGGGAGTTCTGCCGCGATGTGCGTTCGTGAAATTTGGCGGCTGTGATTAATCCGAATAATTCCTCAGAGCACTCCATGTGGTAAATGCGAAAGAAAATGCAAAGAGATGCAACATCTCTTCGCAGCGATAATGAATCGAGCCGATCGGAAAGAATTCGGTCGTCGTCGATTCGAGCCGCTCTGCACTGGATGCGGTCAAGTGGAAGGAGCTGGCACTGGGAAGCCCCAGCTCAGTGATGGGAACAGTATTCCATGTGAGGCCGAACCTGCGCCTTGTAAAGTTGCAGGCGTTGTGCCGGAATGAAATACTGTCCCGCTCTGCTGAGCACACCAATATCTTTAGAGGCCAATTTGGCCTTCTCTTCCAAGTGACCACGAAACTGCACGTATCTCGATATGTCGACGCCGAGGATTCCGATACTGGCTGAGGCAACAAGGGGAGTGCCTTAAAACTGAGGAGATACGACAAAGGGATTCTTTTTAGCGGTAAACGCGCAAACTTGTGTCTTCCGAGGATTAAACTGGACTAGATTTAGTCGCCCCCAATCCGAGACTTTGTTCAACAAAGACTCGACTTCAGACACAAGTTTGTTCCGGTACTCGGCGACGTTTTTCCGAGAAATATTGGCACGGCCGGTGTATAGAGCATCACCAGTGCTGTCATCCACATAGCAATGAATGCTACCGCTTTGCAACATATCATTGATATGCAGAAGAAACAGCGTTGGTGATAGCACGCAGCCTTGTGGAACACCAGCGTTAATAGGCTTGTAGTCAGAGCATGCACTGTCTACAACGACCTTGATACTCCGATCTGCAAGAAAGCTGGTGATCCAATTGCACAATTTCTCGGGAAGCCCATAAGAAGGGAGCTTCAAAAGTAGCGCTTTGTGCCAAACCCGATCGAAGGCCTTCGCAATGTCCAAACTAACGGCCAATGCCTCCCCCTTGGACTCTATTACCTCCGCCCATCTATGGGTCAAGTAGACCAGAAGATCACCAGCTGATCGATACCGATGAAAACCGTATTGGCGGTCACTAATCAGCTGGTGATCCTCAAGGTACCGAATAAGGTGGCAGTTTATAACGGATTCCATTATTTTGGAGAACAAGGGGGTGATGGCAATAGGCCTGTAGTTGGACGGGTCTGAGTGGTCGTCTTTTTTAGGGATCGCGTGACAAAAGCTGTGTTCCATGATTTCAGGACTACGCCATGGGAGTAGGAGTACCGGAAAAGACGCATTAGAACCGGTGCCAACTCTGGAGCACACGCCGCTGTGACAAGCGTGCATCCAGCATGGAGCACTCACGGGATGGTCGGCGGTGTGTTCCCCCCGTCATCGAGAGTCGAGTTGGACGCAAAAAGGGAGCCTAAAAGGTCGGCTTTCTCTTTTGCGGCGTGGGCCAGTGAGTCGTCCTCCCTGTGCAGAGATAGTGAAGGCTTACAGAAATTCCCTTGGACAGCCTTGGCGAGAGACCAGAATGCACGGGTTCCCGAAGGAAGCCGAACTAGTTTCTCGCCAATTCTGCCTATGTGCTCTGACTTTGCCTTGGAAATAACTCTTTTGAAGGACCTGGAGGCGAAGTTATACTTCTTTTTAAGCATGCTGGTGTTTACACCCCAAGCCGCCGAAGCTTCAGCCCAGGCCTGATAGCACTCCTGCTTACTGCGTAATGCATTCTTACTGGAGCGACCAAACCAAGGCTGAGATCTGCCTCCGATGGGTACCACAGATGATGGAATAAATAATTTCATTCTCTGTAGCACTACATCAGTGACAGAGTCAGCAACAACTCTGGGATCATCCGGCGAGAAGCAAACCCGCCCCCATGGGTAGGATGTAAAGAAAGACCGCATTCAGTTCCATTCCGCCAACCTGTAATGCTAAACACGGCGGCAACATGCAGAACACAACCGCGAGGGGAGCGTGAGTGGCACCACACTCCGGATCAGACAATGGTCCGAAGAGCCGAGAGGGGCATCGACCTCTCATCCGGACGGTTATCGAAACTTGATAACCGTCCGGATGAGAGGTCAAAGAAAGATGCAAAATTTCATCAAAATCAGTTTAGTATTACACGCATTGAATGTTTGCGACCACTGCATTTTCAAAACAGAATAGGTGCCAACTACCAACGTAATACCGCAATCAGTTTATTCAAAAGTAAGTCAAAGTAAAACTAGGACCATATGTTTGCAACCACTGACGAACTACGTAACCAACAAAATTTCTTCACGTGTCACTAGGTACTAAATAACAGTACGAGTTGATTAATACTCACTGCATTAGTAAGTTTAAGTAAGTTTTTTTCATTTTATATCGTTGTAAATCATGTGCAACTCGTGGTTCCGTCAGTTAATACCTACCTATGTATTACTGCCTACTAATCAATGGTAAAGCTGTATACTTTTCGTAATCTTTTATTAGTAACTTTAGAGCTTTATTTCACGCATTTCTGATGATAAAAAAATCATAATTTTCTGAAAAATACTGCGCAACCATAAAAATATCCACTTTTGACAGATTATCTGACTGTCTTTTTTCAAAGCCCGCTTCCATTTTTTTTACAGCACTACACACCATGACTATACATATAAATATAATCATATAAAAGCTAAATGTTAGTTTATTTGTGATTCACAGTTTACAAAAAGGTCTTATTTAAACACAAATAAAGTTCTGTCTGTGATCATCCTCATGGGCATACAAATGTCAAATTTTATTAATGGGATTACATTATTCATAATAATAGATTAGATTATTAGATTAAATTATTCATCATAAATAATATTGATTACATTGGATTAGATTAGTATACTTCCATGCGCGCGGTTAGTACTGAACTTAGCAATTATCTACTGCGCGTTCGCTCTGTCAGATTGTGAGGTCACGTCACAGAACGAGCGGGTAAAAATTAAAAAAAATTTCGAAACTTCAAAACGTTATAACTTTCGTATTTCTGCACCAATTTGGATAAAACAAAAACTGTAGTAATATTCATAAACATAGCTTTAAAACTATATAGATTTTATTGTCAAATTAGAACATGTTGGTGTGACCCATTGTCCAGCGATGAGTAGACGCCGAAAAAAAAATTGTATAGTGTCTATACAAATCCTAAGAATTAGATTGCTCCATCGCAGCTCTCTGCAGCACGTACTCCAACCAAATTTAGTGAGTGCGCTGCGCTGGACCTGTAGACTATTTTCTATACATATTTGACCACCAGACATATTTGACGCATTATCGTAAGTATTTTTATATCAATGTTATAGTGATATAAAAAAAATTAAAATTGTAGCGGTCAGTTCTTCTTAGCTTCTTCTCATTTCATTAACTGACATAATGCGTCGAAAAATGAATTAATAGCTATTATCATAGAGGATACAAATTTTCTAATTAAATTTTCACTGTATGAAATATTTTCAATTACATATGTGCGCGCAGGGCCCCTAGCCGATGCGGGGCCCCTAGGCAGTGGCCTAATCTGCCTAAAATTAATCCGACCCTGCATATAGCTCGAAGAACCGACAACCGATGGGGAAGAAAGGTTCTCGAGTTCTCGAGCCTCGTACGGGTAAGCGTAGTGTAGGGTAACCCTTCACCAGATGGAGTGACGACCTGGTAAGACGTGCAGGAAGTCGATGGATGCAAGTGGCTCAGGATCAGGACCGTGCTCAGTGGCGTTCCTTGGGGGAGGCCTATGTTCAGCAGTGGACTTATGAAGGGCTGTAATGATGATGATGATATTTTACAACAAACAAGTTAGCTATGTAGTAGTTTCCCAAAACAATATCTGTCTAAGTTTTAAGTTTAAGATGTAGAGTACATTAGCTATTAATAGTTTAATTTTCACACTCAAAATATTCTTAAATAACTTAGATATTATAAAATTCTAAATAACAAATTATTTTGGTTGCACATAACGAACGGATCGCGCTCTTACTCTTGCTGGCTCGCTTGATTCGTTCGTGTACAAACTCGAATTATGGAGATCAAACTCGAGTTAACTCGAATTAAGCGCAATTCGGATTAACTCGGGTTGACCCAAAGAGTATAGTAATATATAAGGAAGGGTTGACCCATCGCTAAGCTTGCTACATATTATTTATCTATGATATTTCTGTATAGGACAGTTATCACAGTTACAATACTCTTTGATCTATGACTACTTTTTTTAAATTTATTGTATGTGTTGTGTGATTTTGTGATTTCGGAAATTTGGAATTGATGAATGTTGATTAATTTCATAATTTTTTAGTTTAATGAAACTCTGCTGACTGAATACTAAAAATTAGTTTTCTTAACAAATAATAATCAGACAATTTGTAAAAAATATGATACTAAAAAGCGACAATTTAAGTCATGAATATTTCAGTGTTTACAACTACGGTGCTGAACATTTGTTTATGGCCTCATAAATATGGCATATCTAAATGCCGGCTGCAATGTAAATACGATTAAGGCAGCTGATATAATTGACGACACTAACATTGCTGATGATTTGTCCATAGTACCTTTTGGAAAGGAAACTTTTGGTAAGTAATCAGGTAAACAAAAATATCTGTGAATGTTGAATGTATTAGCAGTTTATATTGAATGAATATATCTTGTAAAAGTTATTTCATATCTTCCTAAGTTGCAATGATAATGCTTTCCTTGTCTATTTCAATCAAAACCGCCTTTCCTTGTTTGTGCAAGTACAATCAATGTTGAAAAATTAGTTAAGATCTAAATGAAAAAATTTGAAGAGTATGTCATACCTAGTTTGAAGTTCTATTTGCTCATTATCCTTACAGGTTTGCAGACAGTCTACAGCATTTTTCCCTTGAAAAGAAGGATCTCTATGATAGGTGGTTACAGGTTACAGTTTCAGATCTTTGTGCCATTGAAACTGGTAATCCCATTAAGGTAAAGGCACTAATGCTTGACAGTGAACTAAAGGATGACACATTCAAAGAAAATCTCTTTTATTAAGAATAGTTTTCTTAATATAACTTTACTACTGTTGTTAAAAGATAACTAGTGTCATCTAAGATGCTTAGACAAAACCTTTCATTCACCTATTTAAGTAGAATTCAAAATAGCATGAATGAGGTGAAGTAAACTATGTAGCAAGTGAACGCGTGCTTTGTGATTTACTATCAAAAAGTTTAAGTAGGTTGACATTTCACATTTCTATTTTGTTTTATATTTTTACGATTTATCCTACTTTTTGTTTTGGTTATGAATTAATAAGATATTATTTACATAGTGAGAGCCCACAGACTTTGTTTTTCGTTTATATATTGTAGTTATTTAGAGGGTCTTACTATTAGTGTCGAAAATTAGTCAAAACCTAAAAGCAGACACATGTGTCATCTATTGGGGTAATATGAATCTGAATTTCTAAGTGTCCATTTAAATGAGCAAAGACTCTATTTCCTATGAATAAGGTCCTGTCTAAATTTGACAACTTTTCCACTATCGTACCTAACAATATACAGGGTGTCAACTATTAGACTACAAGATGACAACTATTGGTGTCATCATCAATTAGTTAAATTTCCTTTGGATTCCGGATTTTATATTTGAACAAGATGCCAAAAAAGGAAAGATGTTTTGTTATTCTGAAGCTGATATGGAAGCCGCTATAGAATAATGCAGGCGAGGTGTTCCGACAGCTACTGCTGCCAAAAAATTTGGTGTACCGAGAGTACCTCTATTGAATAAAGTAAAGAGAAAAACAAACAAAACCTAAAATGGGAATAAATTGTTATATGACCGAATAAAATAGAAAAGATGTTGGTAATGTGGGCAAAAGCTACTGTACCATATTTTTCCAGGCCTACCATTCTTAAAAGGGGTTTCTTAATTTAAATCATTCTCTATTTTCTTAATACTATCTTGCAAATTGTCTTTCCCTATTGGAAATCCTTGTTTCACCCTATGGTGCATAGATATTTGCAAGATAGTGTTAAGAATTTAGTAGATGATTTAAATTTAGAAACTCTTTTAAGAAAGATAGACCTGGAAAAAGATGGTACAATAGATTTTTAAAACATCATCCTGATCCAATTACAAGACAGCCCCAAAATTTGACTATTTCCAAAGCTAATGTAACAACATCTCAATTCAAGAACTGGTTCGAAGTGGTCAGCAGCTACTTAAATGATAACAACAACAGGGACATGTTGTATGAATCTCGAAAAAAATTTAATATAGATAAGACAGCTTTTTTCTTAAATCAAATCCTAAATGTAATAAAATGTTAGCACCTAAAGGAGAAAAAAGGTTTATCAGCAAATTAATGCAGATGAAAAAGAATGTTTTACTGTAGTTCTAGGTACAATGCTACTAGCTAGGTGTAATGCTAGCAATGCAGGTAGCATTGCCCTTTGGTCATTTTTAAATATGAGAGAAACTAATAAATAAGAAAATAAATATATTTGATTATGAAGCATAAAATTTTTGTATTTCTTAAAGTGTAGAGCATTAGTGCCTTTACCTTAAGGTCTCAATATTTCTACAATATGATATGGAATTGATAATATGAAACCAATACTATATGAGCGCTTATAAAACATTGAAACTTTGATGATGTGAAAATAATATTGGAAAGCCCTGTTACCACATTTCTTGGTCAAAGTCCCATTTAGGTATTTTATACCAGGAACAACATATTTGTCAACAAATTTGAGTGTACTTTTTCCAATAACTACCAGTACAGGGATGACATAGTCATTAGACAGACAGAGAATACAAGATAATAATATTTTTCTAAAGTTTTTTTAAAGTTTTCAACCACAGTTTTTTTATTGCTTTTGCTGTTATCAGAAAGATGCTGCTGCCCATCTTCCTCAGTTTGCATGCTATAAATATACTATTTCAGGGTTTGAATACCTACTACCCCATATCATCCTGTGGGTGAGAGGAAGAGGCGACAGAGGGAAACAGGCTGAAGATGGGCAGCAGCATCTTTCTGATAACAGCAAAAGCAATAAAAAAACTGTGGTTGCCCACCTGCTCGTCAAGCATGGCAACAGCTTTCACACGTGGTAGAGCCACACTGCAGCTATATTAGTAGTATAGTTGTAGCATGAATGGGTCGGCTCGACCGGGGAAGGACCACACTCTCACAGAATACCAGCGTAAAATAGCAGGTCAATGCTGATGTGTTTCGTATGGTGAGTGTAGAGAACCGGAGACCCTTTTTACTGAAAAAGAGGCATTCCATCTTAGTCCTCACGGGTGACAACGCATCTGCATTTTGATTCACAAACGAGGATAAATGTAGATGTCTATGGGCCACAGCAACCACTTACCATCAGGGGGACTGTGTGCTCGTTTGTCACCCTGTCCAAAAAAAAACTATGGCAATATACCCCAATGACAATAATAAACAGCCCCCAGTCCCCAGCGACCCCCCTATTCCTGGCTACGGTGGCAACCATGGTAATGGTGAGGGAGGAGGTGCTAAGAATCTCCGGTGGAGGTTCGGTTGCCACATATGACGACTCGACTTGGCAACATGAAACGCACGCACCCTGAGGACAGACGAGAAGATCCTTATGACGATTAGCTGGAAGAAGAGATAGACAAGTTGCGCTGGAATATTATAGGATTATCCAAAGTCCGAAGAGAGGGGGAGGACATGGTAATCCTCGAATACGGCAACTGGTTCTATCACCGGAAGGGCGATCATCTGTCCCAAGGAGGTGTCGGATTTATCGTCGACGAGGGTTGCATACCTTATACTCAGAATCACCAAACAGTTTTCTCTGAAGGTCATACAGGCTTACGCACCAACCTCAGCACATCCCGATGAGGAGGTTGAGGAAATGTATGAGGATATCTCTAGAGCCATGCATTCCTCCAAAACCCAGTATACGGTGTTATTGGGAGACTAACGCGAAATTAGGTACAAGAGAGAACGGTGATTTGAAAGTAGGGAAATTTTGATTAGGGCAACGAAACCTAAGGGGCCAGCAGCTGGGCGACTTCATGGAGAAAGAGGGACTCTTTATGATGAACTCTTTCTTCCAGAAGCGGCCTCACAGGAAGTGGACCTGGTCAAGCCCCGACGGTTCGACAAAATATGAGATTGACTTCATTATGACGACCAGACGACAACTGTTCAGTGATGTATCAGTGATCGCGAGGGTGAAAACTGGTAGCGATCACCGAATGGTTAGAGGCACACTGAACCTAAACGTTAAGTTGAAGAGGTATCGTCTAATGAAGTCAACGCTCCGTCCCCGTCGTGCTCTTATCCAGAGTCCCGAAACCTTTCAGCTCGAGTTACAAAATCGTTTTCAGTGCCTAGAAGATTGCGATGCAGTGGACGATATAAATGACAAGCTCATGGAAACTGTCTATGCGGTCGGCCTAAATTTGACAGCGTACAGGCAATTGAACAAAAAGATCTCCGAATGCATTCGGCGGGACTTACGCAACTTCAATACAGGTCGTACTGAAGAAGTGATCAAGCGGAACCAGGGCTCCAAAGTCTGCCAGAGATCTGTCTACCACAAAGTGCCAACTGTCGAAGCTGAAAACCGAATTTGGCATCATCGTTTCTGAGACACCTGGGATTTTGAGTGAGATTGAGAGGTTCTATGGGCAGCTGTACACATCATCGTTGGAGCCACACGCAAGTGTGAGTAACGATCCAAGAACGAGTCTTCCGACACTATTCTGAAGATCCGGTATATCTTCAGTCTGAGCGAGATTAGAATGGCTCTCTAGCATCTTAAAAACGGCAAGTCCCCGGGCGAGGATGGAATTACAGCGGAGCTTCTGAAAGCGGGTAGAAAACCGGTACTTAAATCCTTCAGAAGCCCTATAATTTCGTCCTTCATGGAGGCATTACTCCTCATTGAGCAGAAGTGCAGTGGTCTTGTTCTTTAAGAAAGACGATAATGCTCTCTTGAAGAACTACACACCTACGAAACCTATCCAACTCCCCAAAACTCTTCACCGCTTCATTGGAAGACGTTTTCAAGCTATTGAACTGGAAAGGATACGGTGTTAACGTCAATGGCAAGTACATCACTCACCTTCGATTTGCCGACGATATAGTCCTTATGGCAGAATCATTGGAGGACCTAAGCACTATGCTCATTGGCCTCAATAGTGTCTCCCAATGGATAGGTCTTAAGATGAACAAAAAAAACAAGAATGATGTTTAACATCCATGTCACACCTATGCCGGTAGTTGTTGGGAGCACTATATTCGAAATTGCTCAGCGGGCTATGGAGAGGGCTATGCTCGGCGTTTCTCTGTGTGATAGACTTAAAAACGATGATATCCGCAGTAGAACCAGTGTAATCGACATAGCCTAAAGAATTAGTATGCTGAAGTGGCAATGGGCCGGCCATATAGCTCGAAGAACTGACAACCGATGGGGAAGGAAGGTTCTCGAGTGGCAGCGTCGTACTGGCAGGCGAAGTGTAGGGCGTCCCCCACTAGATGGAGTGACAATCTGGTAAGACATGCAGGAATAATAAGAAGTCCATGGATGCAGGTGGCTTGGGACCATGCATTGTGGCATTCCTTGGGGGAGGCCTATATTCAGCAGTGGACTTGTGAAGGGCTGTAATGAATGTAATGTAATGATGATGATGAAATATACTATAATATTTGTCTGCAAATCATATTTTTTAATTATTCAATCTTCTCATTTATTTCACTTTTTCAATGGAGTTCAAAAAAAGAAGATTCTCTGTTCAACTGTATTTTTTTGTGTGTTACTTTAGAAATTTTTTCTAGGTGAACCGATTTTGATAATTCTTTTTTTATTTGAAAGCTGGTCCTTCTCATGTGATCCCTCATAAATGTGATCAAGATATGAGCTCTAGTTTTTGAGTTATCCTTAATAATGCATATTTAATTGACTTCGACTACATTGAATATGTTCTCATTTTATTTATATTGAAGTGGGTTGTTTCAAAATTTTTAATTTTACCACTTGTTGTTTTGAGTTCTCTAAATCCACTATTATATTGGGTTTTCAAGCTGTGGAGACAAAAGTTATTTATTCTGTGGTCAAGCACCAACAACCTTATGATTTGCTGAACCAAGCTGGACAGGCAGGTTGGTAAGCATGTCTCCAATATCCTCGCACTTGTAATTTAGTTGCCTGTCGTTGAAGACTGCAGTATCATTATCCATGTAGCAATTACAAGATTAAGATTGTGATCAGACATTTGTTACCCTCATTTGTTTTGGGGCCATCCGTGAAAATTCTGAATTCTTTTGGGTTTAAAGCCTCTGGCTGGTTAGTTTCATTTAATTGTATCTTGTATTTCTTATCAAACACAAATTGTTTAGCGATCTTATCGTATTTGGTTTGTAAGATGGGAATTTTGGAGTAAATTCTGTCAATTATATTGGGGCTACTCTTATTCCATAGGTTTAGGGTATCCAGTCTGATGGCAGTTAATGTCGATATTCCTCTAAACATGCAGTGATTTTTCAGTAATTTTTTTTTATGAGTCAGGTACTCAAAGAAAGAATTCATCATACTTGTATGGAATCCTTTCTATTACCTGAACTTTTCTAATTGTAAACCCTTGGGTTCTGGTCTGTCTCAGGACCAAAATTCCCCACTTTTTAATGTATATTATTTTGCGTTAGCTTCCTCTTAACACCTTGTAACAAGTTTTAGAGAACTTGCATAGCTTTAGCTTAGAGATATCTTCATACATCCTTTATTACTGCTCACCGTGTGCCAAAGTTAATGCTAAAACTTAAACCATAAAGGTTTAAATCCATCAGTGAATACCATTCAGTAATTTTTGAGTATAAGGTGTGCAAGCTCTTGTCGACCCACTATAAGTTTGTTCTCTTGATCTACTCTTGACCAGCAGTGTAACAGTGCACTGTTTCTTACAAGACATGGGCTACTCTCGTTGCAGAATTTGCTGTGATCATCATGGCAGGCTGATTGTCAACGACGTATTTTATGTATTTTACAAATGAAAATAGAGATCATAAGATGGTCCCTTACGATACCACCGAATGAATTGAAGTGGTAGTTATATTTGCTGTTGTCCCTACATGACAAATAATTTCGTAATATAATTGTATTGTTATAATTGCCCTCTAATATGTAATTACCCTATTGTTCATTAATATGCTTTTTTTTCAGCAATATGTGAATTATGCGGTAGAGTAGGGCGACGGGGTCAATTTTACACCCGTAACAATAAATTCTGTTCATTGAGATGTCATGCAAGTAAGCAAGGTCGACGCCGTAATTGCAACTGGAGATTCAAACTTATGGAAGGAGCTGAACACATGGCGGGCCTTATTCCATTGGAACCACTTCCTCAGCTACAGCACTGGCAAGCTACATTTAACGACTTGCAGGTATTTCTTTTATTTTATTACTCTGATAGTTTAGCTCTTATTTTAATCCATACAAATAAATAAAATTAAAGTGTGTTTGTAATGTCAAAATAACAGCTTTTTACTAAATGTTTATGAAAGTATATACGGTACTTCTAACAAAACACATTTTTTTTAATTTTTGTCCGTCTGTCTGTTTGTTCCGGCTAATCTCCGGAATGGCTGGATCGATTTTGACCGAACTTTCACTGGCAGATAGCTAATGTTATAAGGAGTAACTTAGGCTATTCTTGTTTTTGAAAAAGAATTAGAATTCAAAAACATTAAAACACCAGATATCCAATCGTAATAAATTACACGCGGGCGAAGTCGCGGGGAACAGCTAGTTATAAAATAAAAGTAATGTTACAGCTAGTAATGTATGTTCCACAGCTGATGAAGCGTGGGTTGCTTGATGTCATATTTTGTTGTAAATATTTTTGATACTTCCCTTCGCTTCGATCGTCCTCGGAATGTTTTATAATTTTTTTGAAATAATATTAACAGTGTGTTAACATTCCTAATAATAATTGACAGTAGCCGTTGGACATCTGTAACTCATTTCAAACAGACGGCGCCACAGATACTTAAAATGTCCCTCATACTTTTAAACCGTAACACGATAGTGGGTATGCTGCTACTTAGCGATAGAAATAAGTAGTTTTCGGACCGCAACAAAAACGATAGACGACTACGAAAAATGGCATACCGCACCCACAGACGGATTTCGTTGCGGCCAAGTCTGTGTTTTGCCACTTCGAAATGCACAATTATAGAGGGCACAATGCAGGCAGTATGCAAGTTTTGCATAGTCTGTATTGTGCAGACATCAAAACAAATTTCAATATTTATTGAAAATAACTCTCATAAAATACCCGCCGAAAGTCTAATCGTCAACGGTTGTTATGAAAAAAGACTTATACAACTAGGGTTGCCATCTCCTAAAATGAAAAAGCCGGACTTGGCGCTCAGAATCAGAATCAGAATCAGAATATTTATTGCCAATAAGCTGTGTATGTACAATTTGCGGGTGACATTGCAATTAAATGTTACACAGTTTACCCATATCGGGTATGCAATAATTAAGAAATAAAACTTTATATAAATTAATGTTTGGTATTAAAATATTCATTTAAATTATAAAACACATTATATATTAACCACTTCTTGAGGTGTATTTTAAATCTTGGCAAGTCCATAGCTTTTATATTAGGTGGCAGATGATTGAATATTTTAATACCTGTACAAAAAGTGCTCTTATAATACATGTAATTATTAATTTTAGGTGTACATAAATTGTTCTTATATTGACTACGTATTGGACGTGAATTCAAGTTTGATTTAATCTGAAAATATTTGTTATTCTGTTTGATAAAAATTGAAATTTCTAAAATGTAAATATTAGTAAGAGTGAGATAACCTTTTTCTTTGAATACATTTCTTAGAGTTTCGTCTGAGTACATATTATAAATGATCCTCAGACATCGCTTTTGTAGAATAAATGTTGACTGCACGTTTGTAGAATTACCCCAGAAAATAATGCCGTAAACTAATAGAGGGTATACCTGGCCGAAGTATGCAGCCCTTGATACATCAACGGAAGTTGTTTCTGCTAATATGGATAATGCGTAACTATAGCTAGATATTTTTTTGTTTATTTTTTCAATGTGGGATTTCCAGTTTAAATGACAGTCTATGGTGACTCCAAGAAAATTAATGTTATCAACTGTTTCTATTTGGGTGTCTTTATCTGCAATATTTAAATTTAAAGATTTTGTTTTGTAATTTCTGAATTGAATAATTTTAGTTTTTGTTAGATTTACGTTTAAATTAATTTTATTAAGCCATTCGACTGCTATTTTTAAGGTTTTATTTATGTTATTTTCAAAATTCATTTGAGTATCGGGTATAAAGATAGTTGCATCATCAGCAAACATAACACATCTATTGTCAGTGACATTTGGCAAGTCATTCACATAAACTAAGAATAACAGAGGGCCCAAAATACTCCCCTGTGGCAAACCTAGTGTCATTTTAACTGGCTTGGACTGTACTTCTTCGAAAGTTTTACTGATTTTGTCAAATTTTTCAATAGCTGTGAGTTGTTCTCTATTTTTTAAATAGCTTTCTAACAGTTTTAATGCCAAACCACGTATACCTAATTTGTCAAGTTTATTTAATAGTACATCGTATATTACACAGTCAAATGCCCTTGACATATCTAAAAACAAACCTACACAAGAAGTTTTATTATTTAAAGATTCCCAAATTTCCTTAAGTATTTCATACATTGCAAGTGTAGTGGATTTATTTTTCTGAAAACCAAATTGATTTTTATTTATTATACTATATTTTTTGAAAAACTCTATAATCCTATCGTAGATGATTCTTTCAAATATTTTTGAGAAGTTGGATAAAAGAGCTATGGGCCTATAGTCTTTGATATTACATTTTGAACCTTTTTTGAACAAAGGTTTGATTTTTGCTGTTTTTAATTCATGTGGAAAGGTACCAGTTTCTATCATTAAGTTAAGTAAATAAACAAGCAGCTCACTAATATACTCTATGGATTTTTTAATAATTTGGATCGATATATTGTCATAGCCGCAACTCTTTTTATTTTTCAGGTTTGTGATTATTTTTTTCAATTCATTTGCGTCAACGGGTGATAAGTATAGGCTATGTAGATGGTAGAGGGTAGGTATCTGTGGCTTGTGTTTGAGTGTTAATGGTAGCAAAATAAGTGTTAAAAACTTCTGCTATAGCCCCTGCATCCGTGATATTAGTATTATCAATGGTCACATTTTTAATAGTTGTTTTGAATATGTTTTGTGAAGTGGTTTGCTTTCTTATTAAGTACCATGTAGCTTTATTTTTGTTGTTACTATTTTTAATGAATTTTATATTTGTTTTTTGTTTTGCTAAACGTGTTACGGATTTTAATATTTTGCAGTATTTCTTATAATACGGTATTAATTCGTTTTTCTTATATTTCAGTATTTTTTGATATAAGTATCTTTTAGTTTTACACGCTCTTTTAATGCTAACTGTCTGCCAATTTGACCTTTTCTTAAAAGAAATTCTAACCTTTTCTACAGGTATGCAAAGATCGTATAATAATTTGAATAAGCTAATGAAAGTATTATACGCCTGATTAACATCACGATACGAGAAAACTTCAGAAAAACTTAATTGAGAGAGATATTTTAGAAAGATAATTAAATACTTATTTTCATTCCTCCTATGTACATACCAATATTTTTCAATATAACCTTGATTACACGGTACGTTTATGTATTGTGCAGAGTGATCAGATAATCCTAAATGTAAAACTTTTGAGCTGCAACCTTTAATATTTGTTATGATATTGTCTATGCAAGTTTTCGATTTTATTGTTATCCTAGTTGGTTCATTTATTGTTAGTTTTAAGTTATATTTTAATACAGTATTTTTAAAAAGTAAACATTTTGGAGTATTTTCAAGTAAATTAATATTAAAAGCTCCAAAAAGCCGGCACTCCCTGACAAGAAAAACTAAAATACTCCGTTACATACATACGTCAACTGTGTATTAATCAGTCACAGAGCAGTTTCAAGCGTATACATTGCTTATTTATATATATATATATACTGCAAACGATGCGTGCCACGCGTTACACTAATAAAAAGCCTAACAAAGGCCGGACACAAAAATTTGGCTGGACAAACCCGAAAACCCCAAACATGTCCGGCTAAAGCCGGACAGATGGCAACCCTATATACAACGAAATTTAAATGTCAAGATATAGCTCTATAAAAACATAAAAATAAAAGACAAAACTTGCAGTCTAAAATTCTTAGTCTGTAGTTCTTCAAGAGAGCGTTGTCGCCTTTCTTGAAGAGCAAGACCACCGCACACCTGTTCCACGCCTACGGTGTAGTGAAGGACGGAATTAAAGAGCTTCTGAAGGACTTCAAGTACCGGTTTTCCACCCGCTTTCAGAAGCTCCGCTGTAATTCCATCCTCGCCCGGGGATTTGCCGTTTTTAAGACGCTGGAGAGCCATTTCTAATCTCGCTTTTGCCAACTTGCTTTTCTATTATTTTCCCAATAAATATTTAACCTTGGTTCAAATATTTGTTATGGAATAATTATTTGATATTTCGAGAAGGTTTTAGACAATAATTTAAAATTAAAAATTTTGTACTGCCGACTTCAATATAAGTTATTATGAATAACTCAAAAACTATTGGTCTGACCTTGATCAAATTCATATGGTACCACAGGAGAAGTACCAGCTTTCAAATAAAAAAAGAATCATTGAAATCGGTTCACCCAGTAAAGAGTTATGAGGTAACACACATAAAAAAAAAGCATATAGTCGAATTGAGTACCGTCTCCTTTTTGGAAGTCGGCAGAAAATCATACAAAAATCATGAAATTATAGTTGAGACAAACAAATAAATACGTGAGTGCGAGTGATAGGCGCGTGTAGAACTAGGGGAGAGCGTTTATCGTCAATCGGGACGGGTCTGCGACGCACTATAGGAAAACGGGATATGTTTCGTCTCAAAACTTCATATTTCAGTTGTTTCAAAATGAATTAAGCTATGATTTTACATACGTATACTTGGATATTTATAGGGTTTTTAATGAAAAAATAATATTTTGAGTTAAAAATAAAAATTTTAACTCAAAATAAAATTTGACCATAATAGACTTCAAATTCAAGACATATTTTTTTTGACCATAGGTAAATTAGGTCTTGAGCACTGTTTAACATATCTCATTTCAATAAATTTATAAATACACCGTCATCCATGCTATTTTATAAAGAAATAATTTTTTTTGAAAAAAAATGATTTTTATCTCGCGATGTGTTTTGGATGCAATTTTTTTTATCCCTAAACAAAGTAATGTGTGAAGATCTTTATGCAATAAATACCTCGAAATCGGCAAGCATCGGTAAGAGGTGAATCTCTTGTTAAAAAAAAAGTGTTAAAATATACATAAAAAAACAATATTGGTTATTGTTTGTTTAATCTTTATATAAGAAATTACGTGTCGCGTTGTTTGTCCCCGATGGACTCCTAAACTACTGAACTGATTTGTGAAAAGTCAAGAAAGAGTAGCATCGTTGATGCACAGAGTGGGAGACAGTCCTTACGGCTACCTGAGAGTCATTGCTGAACATATTCGCCTACATAAAGGATAATTAATTGTAGTTTGTTTTTGTATTTGTGTGTTACCACAGAATAAACAATAGGTATTACTAACATAGTTTTTAAGTTTCATTGTATTATTAACACTATGAACAACTTGGTCTGAAATAAATTATATATTATATATTAAAAATATTATAATTTAAACTAATGGGTAATCATGGAATAAAACAAATTTTACGGATTTTATCGCCTTTAATTTTAACTTTTTTAATTCCCGACGTTTCCGGCACTTTCCAGTACCCATGGCCACGGGGGGGATTGAGGTGTTTGATGTGGCAATGACATAGTTAACAAAGGCTACATTCAACTCTTAATTATTAATTTATGGTCCGATCTACGCAGAACGAGCTTACAGTTTTTTTTTATAGAATAGGGGGCAAACGAGCATGCGGCTCACCTGATGGTAAGTGACTACCGCCGCCCATGAACAACCGCAATACCAGGGGAATTGCAGATGCGTTGCCGGCCTTTTAGAAAGGTGTAAGCTCTTTTCTTGCAGGTTCCTAAGTCGTAACGGTTCGGAAAATTCGCTGGTGGTAATTGATTCCACAAAGAAGTTGTGCGAGGGAGAAAACTTCTTCTAAATCGCACAGTGGTGGACCGCCAATCATCCAGATGGTATGGATGGTAACGCGAGTTAGCTTACAGTATCTTGAAGTCTTGCAGTAGTATGCTTGGGTTTGGATTTAATTTTATTAATTACGGGATCCCAAGCAGATGATAGCACCCAGCCATCTTCCCTATTAAAGTTCGGTTCAGAAACGTCGGGAATTAAAAAGGTTCAAATTAAACGCGCTGAAATCCGTAAAATTAGTTTTATTCCACGTGTTCTAATTTACAATAATTATTCAGGCAGGACCAATCAAACAGTCTGCAGCATTAATAGCTAATAGTTATGAATGGAAGGATGAGTTGTTTGGCTGCGATTTTCTCGCAGCACCTGTTAGTCTATTTAAACACGCCCCACTGCATGAAATGTGGGACAATACGTTCGAAGGCATGAAAGTTGAAGTCAAAAATACAGACTGTGATAATTATTCAGAAAAAAACAATGATTTCTTTTGGGTTGCTACAGTTTTAAAGGTGAGTGTTAATAACGATGTTGTTACTAGTTAATGATTAAACTTGAACATCGAAAGCATACATCATATTGTCTTGACCCATGAAATAAATCTCACGTATCATTAAGATGTATGTTCCTCTGAAACAGTGTTTGCTTATACATGCACTTGTAAACCATTTTATCAGAATAATATGATTTCAGGTAAAGGGCTATATGGGTTTACTTCGCTATGAAGGTTTCGGAAGCGACGATTCGAAAGACTTCTGGGTAAATTTGTGCTGTTCGGAAGTTCATCCTGTAGGATGGTGTGCAACTAGAGGCAAGCCACTCATACCGCCTAGAAGCATAGAAGATAAATACACTGATTGGAAAAAGTATGCAAACTTTTATGTATTTCTTCTAAACCTGATTTTTACATTTTTTTATTTGCGATTTTATTGATTAAGAAGGAAGGGGGATAGTAAATAAAAGCTTCGAGATCAAAACTAAAATCTGAATTCAAAACTCAACCCTGAGGCTCAAGCTCAAGGGGTAGATGTGAGTCGGGATTTACTAGAAATACGCCGCATATTCTTGTAACCGCCCTGTTTTCACACGTATTGAATCGTAGGGCTGAGGCTGAGGTCACAGAATAAATAATAGTACTACGTACTAAGGTCCGCCCCCCTCGTGCTCTGTTCCAAAGTCCCGAACCCTTTCAGCTCGAGTTACGAAACCGTTTTCAGTTCCTAGAAGACTGCAATGAAGTGGACGATATGAATGACAAGCTCGTGGAAACTGTCCATGCGGTCGGAGCTAAGTTCTGCAAGACCCGCCGCAGAAGAACACATAAACTCTCCGATCACACTCTTAATCTCATGGCTGTTAGACGGGAGATGAAGCTACATTCTTCAACAGATTTGACAGCATACAGGCAACTAAACAGACAGATCTCCAAATGCATGCGGCGGGACTTACGCAACTTCAATACAGCTCGTATTGAAGAAGTGATCGAGCGGAACCAAGGCTCCAAAGTCTTTGCCAGATATCTGTCTGCCCCAGAAAGAGCCAACTGTCAAAGCTGAAGACAGAATGTGGCAGCATCGTTTCCGGGGCACCTGAGATTTTGAGTGAGATTGAGAGGTTCTATGGGCGGCTGTACACGTCATAATTGGAGCCACACGCGAGTGTGAGTAACGATCCAAGAGCGAGTCTTATCCGACATTATTCCGATGATATCCCGGACGTCAGTCTGAGCGAGATTAGAATGGCTCTGCAGCACCTTAAAAACGGCAAGGCCCCGGGCGAGGATGGAATTACAGCGGAGCTTCTGAAAGCGGGTGGAAAACCGGTACTTGAAGTCCTTCAGAAGCTCTTTAATTCCGTTCTCCATGGTGGCACTACTCCGGAGGCGTGGAGTAGGAGTGTGGTGGTCTTGTTCTTCAAGAAAGGCGACAACGTTCTCTTGAAGAACTACAGACCGCCTTCTGAGCCGCGTCTACGTGCTGTTTTCGAGAGTCATTACGAATCGTCTCGCACGCAGACTTGACGACTTACAGCCTCCCGAACAAGCCGGTTTCCGAAAAGGCTTTAGTACCATGGATCACATACATACCCTACGGCAGATTGTACAGAAGACAGAGGAGTATAATCTGCCACTTTGCCTTGCATATGTGGACTATGAGAAGGCCTTTGATTCCGTCGAAATTTGGGCGGTGCTGCAGTCCCTTCAGCGGTGCCAAGTTGACTGTCGGTATATCGAAGTGCTGAAGTGTTTGTACACTAGATCTACGATGGCTATCCGAGTACAGAATCAGAGTACGAAACCTATCCAACTGCAGAGAGGTGTAAGACAGGGTGACGTTATATCGCCGAAACTCTTCACCGCTGCATTGGAAGACGTTTTCAAGCTACGGGACTGGAAAGGATACGGTATTAACATCAATGGCGAGTACATCACTCACCTTCAATTTGCCGACGATATAGTCCTTATGGCAGGATCGCTGGAGGACCTAAGCACTATGCTCAATGACCTCAATAGTGTCTCCCAACGGATAGGTCTTAAGATGAACATGGACAAAACAAAAATCATGTTTAACGTCCATGTCACACCTATGCCGGTAGTTGTTGGCAGCACTAAGCTCGAAGTTGTTGACGAGTATGTTTACCTGGGACAAATAGTCCGACTAGGTAAGTCCAACTTCGACCGAGAGGTCAATCGACGGATTCAATTCGGCTGGGCAGTGTTCGAGAAACTACGACACATCTTCTCGTTAGACATACCTCAAAACCTGAAAACGAAATTATACAACCTGGTCCTTCACTGCTGGCCGTATAAGGAAGCTCAAGGTCGCTCAGCGAGCTATGGAGAGGGCTATGCTCGGGGTGTCTCTGCGTGATAAACTTAGAAATGAGAATATCCGCAGTAGAACCAGAGTAATCGACATAGCCCAACGGATTAGTAAGCTGAAGTGGCAGTGGGCAGGCCATATAGCTCGAAGAACCGACAATCGATGGGGAAGAAAGGTTCTCGAGTGGCAGCCTCGTACCGGTAGGCGAAGTGTAGGGCGACCCCCCACTAGATAGAGTGACGACCTGCAGGATGCAGGAACTCGATGAATGCAGGTGGCTCAGGACCGTGCTTTGTGGCATTCCTTGGGAGAGGCCTATGTTCAGCAGTGGACTTGTAAAGGGCTGTAATGATGATGATGTACTAAGGTCTCCTGACTTTACCTCTCCCACAGCCACGCCAGGTTTTACTCTGTAACAACTTTTTACTCTGGAAAGTAGTAGTTACTATTGTTAGGTCTGCACACATGACCATATCTTTAACTGATCTTTATCTGATCTTATCACTAATTTATATAATTTTTCAATTGACGAAATATGAAAGAACAGAATTCTGTTTCAAATTACATTTGAACATAAATAGTGTTGCGCGCCACTATTAATGTCTTGTACATGGCAACACTAGTTACCACTAGCGCCCTCTAGTATCGAGTAGCAGAACTAGGAGAGTCAAGATCCTTCTAGAAATATCGGGACCGATATGTACTCGAATATTCTAGATGTTTCTATAGTAGAAGGTTCTGGAAACTATCTGAGGGCCTATATAAGGCCAGTATAGGCCGCAACCGAGTCAGTATTGAATTGGCGATACAAACGAATACTTCGAAACGAAACAACTGCGAACTAAAGTGATCAGTAGTACAATTGTGTTTTATTATTGGTGTGGTTTTAAGTTGTAATAAGTGTTCTGTAATTAGTGTCAATTTTGGTAATTCAATAGGCAGTTTTTAATTGTCTCGAACCCCAAGCTCGTAACAATAATTTTTACCCGACTACCCCAGAAGTAGGGTACTGATTTTAGAGAGAGTTTTGTAGATGTAGGACCTTTTCTTTGGCACGCTTTGTAGCCTAAATGGCTTCATGGACTTTAACATATTATGACGTGTCTTTCTTTTTTTCTCTTTTCAGTAGACTTTAGTCTGTCGGGTTTTTTAAATTACTGTTTCAACCATTGGGCTTGTTCAAGGAATCTGTTATGAAAGTATAATATTTTAAATTTATTATTTTCAGATTTCTGGTAAAACAATTGACTGGTGCCCGTACCCTACCTGCTAACTTCTATAGTAAACTAAATGACAGTCTCGTATCGAGGTTTACTATTGGTTCTATTATGGAAGTAGTGGACAAAAATAGGATTTCTCAAGTAAAGGTAAAGCCATTATGTTTTTTGCGTGGTAGAGCTATACTATAGCTATATTTTAGTTGTAGTACGAATTGGTTAGCTCGACCGGGAACGACGATGTTCTCACAGAATACCTGCGTAAAATAGCAGTTTAATGCTGCTGTGTTTCGCATGGAGAACCGGAGGCAATATTTACTGTAAATACATTCCATTTTAGTCCTCAGGGCTGACAACGCATCTGCATTTTGAGACTGCTCGTTTGTTACACTCATTCTATATAATATATATAGTCTTTTTTCTTGTTTATATTAACGATTTACCTCTAGTCACAAATTTTCCCATGACACTTTTTGCCGATGATTGTACTGTTCTTTTCATGACTAAAGATTTGACTGCCTTAAATAATGAAATGAATGAGATATTTAATAAAATAAATGATTGGTTGAATCTTAATAATCTTAAAATAAATTTAAATAAGACTAAATACATGACTTTTCAAGGAAGGCGATCCGCTCAGATATTACATCACTCTGATACAAATATTGGTAAAACTAATAACACAAATTTCTTAGGTTTGAAAATTGATGACATGTTAACATGGAAGTCCCATGTTGATATAGTGTGTACGAAACTTAATAGGTTTTCTTATGCACTTCGACAACTTTCTAAAACTACCAATATGTCTACACGGATTACAGCATATAACGGTTACGTAGATTCTATACTAAGATATGGTATTTTATTTTGGGGCAACTCCGTTAATAAGGAAAATGTTTTTAAAGCACAAAAGAGGTGCATACGAGCTATGTGCAATCTAAAGCAAACTGAATCATGTAAACCATCTTTTAAAAAGTTGAAAGTATTAACTCTTACTTCATTATATATTTTAGAGGTCACCATGTTCGTAAAAAGGAACATTCATCTTTATGAACATCATGTTGGTCTGCGACACACAGATAAACTCTGCTCTGTAGCAAGTAGAACAGCGTTATTTAACAAGAGCGTGTTTTGCATGGCGCCAAAAATATATAACAAAATACCCAAAAAAATTAAAGATATAAAAAATGTTAAATCTTTTAAAAAAACGCTTGTCAGTGTCCTAATAGACAAAGCCTATTATACATTAAATGATTTCTTTAGTGATGATTTTTGATACCAAATTCAACCATTGGATAAATAACTTGCTTTACATAATTATGTTAACATAAATATAAAAGTAATTACATCATATTTGATACTATTTATTAATTAATTTTAAAGTTTAAGTGAATAAAAAACAATGAAATGTGTCACTATTTATTTGTTTGAAATATTGTTAGGTCATTATTTAAAAATGTACATAATAAAACATAGTTATTATTCAATATATTTATGTCATAATTAGATTTCTAACATACCTACTTAACTCTTTTCTCAAATTCTATACCCACTAATGTTTTGTATACGTTCCATTTTTTGTTATTTTATTTACTTTAAATGATTTCCAAAAATATTGTATTTCGTATGCCCAGAGGGTAGGATATAGTTGAACTTGATTATATAATAATGTATCTAACATCTATGTAATACCTATGATCCACGAAATAAATGATTATGATTATGATTATGATTATTATAAAAAGAAAACAATTTGCGTCGGGCGCCAATTCACAAGTTTTCATTGTTGTAAACAGATTTAGGTAAAAGAAAACCATCGTATAGGTACTATCGATATCGGAATTTTGGGATTTTTTATGACACTAAACCAACAGTGATTGAGTCATTTTGGTCCATAAATATAGAATTTATTAATAACTTGACTACAGAGGCACCTATTGCATCCCAGCATAGCTATGAACCATTGTCTTGACAAAAGATATGTGTCAATATGACTTCAATAGGTAACAGACATACTGATGATTATAAGATATATAAAATGGTTTCAATTCTTTTTAGTTATTATTTAAGGTGATTTTTTGGTTATCTCGTATTGGAAAGCTTTAAATATAACTTACCCCGCGCAATTTCTTTTCTTTCAATCAATGTTTTACTATATTGACATTTGAGCAGTAAACCTGAGGGTGTGGCGTCATATTAAGCGAGAACCCGATTTCGATTTACTAAGTTCCCCAACACTTAATTACTAAATCAGTGTTGGACACTTTTTCTTACCCCATTACCTCTCTGAAATGAGATTGGTACGCATGTAAGGTGTTACTTTACTTTTTGTTTATTTATATCCAGGTAGCGAGTGTATGTGAAATAGTGGGCAAAAGGTTGCACGTGAAATATTACGACAGTTCACCAGAGGACAACGGTTTCTGGTGTCACGAGGACTCTCCACTAATACATCCCGTAGGTTGGGCGTTTCGAGTTGGTCATCCTTTGGACGCCCCACAAAGTTACTGCCAAAGGGTAGCAGCCGGGCGCCTTATGCCCAGTGACACTACACCAGATATGTTTTACAAGTATCCAAGCAATGAGCCACCCTTGTTCACTGAAGGGATGAAGTTAGAAGCAATAGATCCGCTTAACTTGTCTGCGGTGTGTGCAGCTACGGTTATGCAAATTCTAAACGAAGGATATATGATGATAAGAATTGACTGTTATCCAGCTGATGCTTCCGGAGCGGATTGGTTTTGCTATCATCAAAGATCACCTTGTATATTCCCGGTTGGATTCGCAATGTCAAATAATATCCCACTCGTACCTCCTGCTGGGTAAGTTTTATGTTATTTTAAAAACAGTACTTGTAGAATTTTATTGTTCATTGAGCCTGTAACATTTTTTAAAATCTAGCATTTTTAAATCACCCTGCGGTAAAACCACCAGCTTGATATAAATGTATTATAATAATAAAAATTATTGTACAAAACAGTCGATTAAAGAAAATACGGAGAATTGCCCGTAAATTAGCGCGCAATGTACCGTAGTGCTAGTCTAATAAAAGACACGCACAAATCAAAGACTTCTATGTCTTATGGCAAAGAAAGACTTGCAAGACTGCTTGAATGATCTATAACTTTCAAATAAATTATCAGTATCATACGCCCGCCATCTGTAAGTTAATTGTAATATACCTATAACCTTCACGCAAGTTCAAGCGGTAGGTTGACAAAGTTTTACCGCAATCTTATGAACAGTATGGCTGCATAAAATACGAACAAACAAAAAATATTTTTATATATTAGATGAGGGTGACAAACGAAATCAGAGTCCATTTAATCTTAAGTAGATGATGTGGCCTACTGACATCTACATCTATTCAAATGAAAATGCAGAATGCATTGTTCTCTCTTAGGACTAAGGTAAACTCACCATACGAAACAAAGGAGAATTAAGCTGCTATATCACGCTGGTACTCTGCGAGAGCGTGGTCCTTCTTCAGCTGAGCCGACCTATTCGTGCTACAACTACGAGGGCGGCACTGAAAATTTCGGGAATCAAGGAAGTGACACAACATTACTATTTAAAAATGTATTTAGTATTCTCCGCGAAATTTGACACATTTTTCCATACGATGGAACCAATCATTGAAGCAACTATTCCATTCGGAAGTTGGGGTCTCCAAAATGGCCGTTTTGTAGGCGTCCACAACTTCAGGTGATGAAAATCTCTGTCCACGCAATTTATTCTTTATTTTAGGGAAATTATAGAAATCATTAGGGCTTAGGTCGGGGCTGTACGGCGGATGTTTTCTTGCTCTAAAAACTCTTTTGTTCTGTGTGCGGTGTAAGAACTCGCATTGTCGTGATGGAGGATGATGCGGCGGTTGCAGTTCTCTTTAAGGAGTTCAGAAACGACCTGTGGCAAACAAATGCTAGCATACCATTCTGTATTAACCGTTCTTTGTCCCTCAAGAGGAATAGTCTTAACATGGCCGGTTTTGGAGACATAGGTGGCCACCATTTTTTTTGTAACACTCTGTGAACGAACAATTTTTGTTGGCTTTAACTCATTTTCGAACACCCAAACTCGTGAATGGTTTTTTGTTTCGGGTTCGTACGCGTATATCCAGGATTCGTCACCTGATACGATGTTGTATACAGCATTTGAGAATCCTGTGTGTAATCTTTCGAGAGTTCTGACGCACCAAGTAACGCGAGCCGCTTTTTGCTCTTCACAGAGCGAATGCGGTATCCATCGGGAAAACAACTTTTTTACATCTAATTGTTCATGCAAGATTATTTGTATTTGACTCATGCCAATGTCTAAAGTTGCCTGAATTTCGCGGTATGTCACATGTCGATCTTCCTCAATCAGCTTACGCACAGCATCAACGTTTTCTTGGGTGAATGCAGTTTTTGGACGACTTTGACGGGGATCATCACTGAGCTTGACACGTCCACGTTGAAATTCAGCAAACCAGCGATAAATTGTGGTTTTGGATAGGGCTTTATCACCAAATGCAGAAATCATCCGGTCAACACACTGTTTTTGTGTTAAACCACCTCGAAAGTCATAATAGATCATCGCTCTTGAATTTTCTCGAGTCAATTCCATTTTCCCAACGACTAAACAAGTTTGACAAAACCTTGTGACAAGACCGAGAATCTTTTTTTAAACAAATAAATGGTATTCGATTTTTAAAACCAAGGAGTTTTCAATTAAAAAGATTTTAATATGACAGGAACAGTGGAAATATTCCATTCCCGATACTTTTAGTGCAGCCTATGTATAATATAGCTGCAGCATGGCTCTAACACGTATTAAATCGCCGCCGCGGGCGCTGGTTACTCGCGCGTTGCGTTTTTTTTATAGAAGAGGCAAACGTGCATGCTGCTCACTTGACGGTAAATGTTGATTGTCGCTCGCGAAGAATAACTGCAACACAAGGGGAATTGCAGGTACGTTGCCGGCCTTTTAAAAGGAGTAAGCTCATTGGTTGAAGATCCCTAAGTCACATTGGTCAGTTCACTATACGAAACACAGCAGCACCTCAGCGCTGCTGCGTTTCGTATAGTGAGTGTAGAGAACCGGAGACTCTTTACTGCATACGAGGCATTACATCTTAATCGTCAAGGATGACAGCAACTGCATTTTAAATTGTAATGGAGGATAAATGTAGAGCACAGTATTCACTTGCCATGGTGGTGGTAGAGGTGGACTGTATGTATGTTTGCCACTCTTATTCAAAAAAAAATTAGTATGTGGTTATGTCGTAGACGGCCGTGTGTTTTAAGTCAATATGTGTATGTGATTAAATTACCTCAAAATGCCGCCGCTCTTCCTTCCGCCGTGGGGGATGCGTCACAATCCTTACTCAACGTAAGCTATCGAGAGGTGTAATTTAATTTTGAATGTAGATTATTATTACAGCTTATTTTCCACTTAACAATACTTACAAATATATTATATCCAATTATAATAATTTCCTTCCCATTTTTTTGTTATTTGGGCCCCCTATGGGTAAAAGCCTCCTCCATGCTTTTCCATCTTTCCCTGTCTTTGGCCGCATGCATCCAACTTTTTCCTGCTGTGTCTGTTATGTCATCGGACCATCTTTTCTTCTGTCCTCCCACGTTTCTTTTGCCTTTTGGGCCCTGCCGTTTAGTTGTTTGGTAAGTCCATCTCTTATCTTTGTATCTCGACAAGTGCCCTGCCCAGTTCCATTTCTGTTTCAAACTAAAATTAAGAGCATCTGTAAATTTTGTTTTCATGCGGATGTCTGCGATTCTTGTTTTTTGTATTTTTCTCAGTTTCAGTATTCTACGTTCCATTGCATGTTGACAAGATGAAATTTTGTTTTTTACTTTTTCAGTGAAGACCCAGGTCTGGCTAGTGTAAGTTAAGCTTGGGAGAATGCAAGAATCCATTATAGTCTTTTTTATATTGAGACTATAGTTCTCTTTTAGAATTTCTTTTTGGGCCCAGTATGTCTTCCATTCTGTACTTATTGGTCTGTCTATTTCGTTTTCGTTACTGTTTGTATCAAAGGACACCAATTTACCTAGGTACACATATTCATTTGTATCTTCTATCGGTTTTTGCTCTACTTTGATTGTTTTCATTTGACTGTTTGACATTATTTTAGTTTCGGATGTGTTCATGTGTAGACCGATTTTTTTTGCTTTCTAAGTTTAATCTTTGTAACATTGCTTCTAAATCTGTCGCTGATTCACTAAAAAGAACAATGTCATCTGCAAACCTTAGGTGTGTTAATTTATTATTGAGTCTCCATATGCCTTAATTTTCCCAATTAAATGTTTTTGAAAATGTCTTCAATTACAGCTATGAATAGCTTTGGAGACAACGGGTCTACCTGCCGCATCCCTCAACCAATTGAGAACCCTTCCCCTTGCTTTTCCAGTTTTACTCTACTACATTTTTGGAGTAGATGTTTTTTATGATATTTACATATTTTTGTTTACATCATTATTTCTTAGAGCAGTCCATATAGGTGGGTGTATTATGCTATCGAATGCTTTGGATTAGTCCACAAAAGCTTTGTATGTGGTTTTTTGAATTCTTTATATTTCTATATTATTTGTTCCATTGTGTGAATGTGGTCTATTATTGAGTAGTGCGGCCGGAATCACACTTGTTCTATTGGCTGGTTTTTGTCAATATCTCGTACTATTCTTCTTAGGATGAAAAGAGTTTATATATTGTTCATAATAAGCTGACAGGCCTGTAGTTGCTGATGTCGAACGGTTTCCCTTTTTTATACAATAGTATTATGTTTGATTTACTCCATTGCTATGGTACTTGCTCTTTTTCCAGTACCAAATTGAAGAATTCTGCTAGATATGCAGCCAGGGTTGGGGCTCCGATTTTGAGGGCTTCGTTTGTGATGTTATCTTCGCTAGGGCTTTTTAGTGATTTCTTTATTAAGAAGCCTACGCCATGAAGTGCCTGTGTCTCTCCTATATAACAAAATATGTAGTCTTTATGTTTTTCAATGATATATCCTATCTTTTTAACTTCAGCGAGTCCTATGATGTCCCATTTTATTTTATCTATTGTATTATTTAGTTCTAAAGTTCTTTCTTTTGTTGATAGGGATCTCACATTGAATGTGTATATTTTAAGGCCTTGTTCTCTTCTTGACTTTAAAAACTTGCTTTTGTTTGCGTAACTAGGGTTGTCTTTATTTATATTATTCTGTTTGTTTTTATTAGATGATATATTACATATATATATATATATATATATATATATATATATATATATATATATATATATATATATATATCTGCAATATTAAACTGTGTCCCCCGATTTTGTTGTCATGAGTTTTCTGAATCGCCTCCCACTATGGATGTAAATTTAAAAACATAAACGTAGTCAGAATACCAGCCTAAAATAGCAACTTAATACTGTTGTGTGTTGTGATTCGTATGATGAGTGTAGAGAACAGGAGACCCTTTCCACTGGAAACGAGGCATTCCTACTTAGTTCTTAGGGGTGGCAACACATCTGCATTTTGATTTTTAATCGAGAATAGATGTAGAGGTGTACGGGCTACGGCATCCACTTACCATGAGGTGGACAGTGTGGTCGTTTGTCACGCTTATTGTATAAAACATATTGACGTCCAAAGTGTTGGTCAGTATATCAGCGGAGGAGTTCAGCTGGGAGCGCTACCTGACGGGCGGCGGCGCGGGTGCGGCGGCGGGGCGCGCGCTGTTCGCGGCGCGCGGGCACGTGGTGTCGCACGGCTTCGTGGCCGGCATGCGCCTCGAGTGCGCCGACCTCATGGACCCGCGCCTCGTCTGCGTCGCCACCGTCGCGCGCGTCGTCGCCGACCTGCTCAAGGTAATTACCCTAGTCGAACTAAAACCTAACGCGCACAGCGAATAAACGTATGCGTTTTGTAACCGCCGAAAATATTTACAACAAATGACATCAAGCACCCCACCCTTTTTTTACAATAATATTTTATTTATAAACTTATTGAAAATTATTTTCTACTATTTAGTTCGCTTATCTACAAAAAAGTGTTTGTTTTTTTAGTTTTTTTAAACTATTATTTATTTCCTATTTTTCAGTGCGGCTAACTACAAAAGCGTGTTTTTTTTGGAACAAAGTTATTTTACGTGACTATAATAAATTGAACAGGCAAAAATTGTAGTTGTTTTATGAAATAGTCGCAAATTCTGAGGAACCTGGCAAGGATAATAGGACTAACTATTTAAATTATTGCATTATCATCGGTCCGTGATAAGTGTGCGAAGTTTCAAATCAATATGGAATATTGAAAATTATTTTCTACTTTTTAGTTCTGTTATCTCCAAAAGCTTGTTCTTTTTGTTTTTTTTTTAAACTTATTTATTTCTTCAACAGCTCGTAAAAGACCACGGCTGGTCTTAGACTTCTCCCGGTAGTAAACGGACGAGATTTCCACTTCTGCGATTGTGTCAACTCACATGCGAACGTGTCAACTGTCAAGGCAGGATTTGCTTTAATTACAGTAAACTTGACACTGGCAGAATTATATCAAGGGAAGCCATAATTTAAAAGAAGAAAAAGAAGTAATTACAGTAAGCAGTTAATTACAGTAGTGGAAATCTAGTCCCTTTAAGGCTGCCGCCTGTCACCGGTCTCGATATTCCACGTCTAGCGTAAACTGGATGATTATTCCGCCATCAATCGGAAGTAATGATTTTTTGGCATTTCCTATAATCGGTTCTTACGAGACGCACGAGACGAAATGGTATGATTGAGATTACATCGCCACCACAAAGCTATCTCCATTATGAACTGTAAGCGGTGCACAATGTTGAACTCCGGTTTGAAGCTGGCAGTCCAGCAGTATTATGGCAGGTTACAATGCTCATTAAGACTATATTCTAAAATGTTCCGATTTGTCCACGGCAAGTTCAACAACTAAACTGGCAATGACTTTTTTAAACCTAATTACGGATATTCCTAAAGGTAGAAAAATTAAAATATTATGAAGCAAGCCATTGTATACTTATGTATACTTATATACTTATACATTATTACTTATATACTTATTTATATGTATTGTATACTTATACATTAATATTGTACGTGGAAGAGATATGCTATATTAGTAGTATAGTTGTAGCACGAATGGGTCGGCTCGAACGGGGAAGGACCATGCTCTTACAGAATACCAGCTTAACGCTACTGTGTTTCGTATGGTGAGTGTAGAGAACTGGAGACCCTTTTTACTGGAAACGAGGCATTCTATCTTAGTCCGCACGGGTGACAACGCTTCTGTATTTTGATTTGTAATCGAGGATAGGTGAAGATGTCTATAGGCCGCAGCAACCACTTACCATCAGGTGGACTGTGTGCTCGTATGTAACCCTTATCCTATAAAAAAATTGTGACATTGTTGTGTTTTTTATATTTTTATACTAGCTTACTCTATGCTACGTTCCTGTACTATATGACTTTGTAATGCTAAGGCTATGTTAAAATTAATCTATGACACAAACTGAAAGTCTCCGGACTTACTACGGATAAAAGAAAAAAGCATTTGGTTTGATTTCCTTTTAAAAATAAAAAAATGCAACATAATCATTATAATAATAATGTTTTGCAAGTAATTAGCTGTCTAGGTTATTAAAACGTTTTATGAAAAGAAAATGGGTATTATAATCCTCATTTCGATATTCCACGAATTGACACGTCATCTAACATAATTTTAATAAACTTATTAAAATATATTATTATTATAATGCGAAAAGGTGGCGCAAGATTATTTTCATCGGCATGCATATATTTTTATGATCTTCACCGCCAAACAGGTGGTAAATCAGCATTTAATATTGCTAAGGAGTAGCAGTTCTTTAAACACTTGTTTTTGGGCAGCATATCTTACCTAACTATGTATATGCTTCCCTGCTACTAAACACGATGCCATCCGGTGTGGTTACGTCAGGTGCACTTCGACGGGTGGGGCTCGGAGTACGACCAGTGGTTGTGGGCGCACAGCACGGACGTGTATCCGGTGGGGTGGTGCCGCGCGGTGGGGCACCGGCTGGAGGGTCCGCTGCAGGCGCCGCGCCGCCCCGTGCCCCGCCCCGCGCGTCCCGCCCGCCCCTCGCGCCTCCATCGCCGACGCAAGAAGCACGGTGAGTACTCGCACAACCAGTTGCTGCAGACCCACACAACCAGCCGCAGCACGGTGACTAGACGCACGACCAGCCGCTGCGGACCCACACAGCCAGCACCGCTGCCGCTAAAAGCTGGAGGAGTAATAGAGGACTTACTGTAAGAGGGACTTAAAGTTATTTAAAGTTTCAGCCTATATACGTCCCACTGCTGGGCACAGGCCTCCCATCATTTCTGACAGGGTTTTAGGGCAAGGGAATGTCCGCCGCGCTGCCCCAATGCGTGTTGGCGAACTTCACATATCTTCGATATTTTTTTCATATTTCTCAGGCATGTCTGAAAAATACATGTCAAGGGGGACTTACTATGAATCAAAACTGGTTATTGAGGTTAGCGGAAGCGTGCGGTATCCGAAACATGGTTGTACCGCTGACCAGCCGTAGATAGTTGGGACCCAGTTAGTAAGCCAACCACTCATGAAAGGCTGCCCCGCTATCCTACGAAATATACTGGGATGGCACACACCAAACCAATTTTCTTGTCAGCCTCGAGCACAGGCGCAGAGTAGCCAGCGTCTCTGTATTAATAGAATGCATTTCGTTGAGTGTGCACAGGAATTACACGAATTAAGAGTAAATAGGCTTTTGTTACGCTAAGACAGTGCGATTTACTATCTAGTGCTATATCACCACTTACCACGAAGTGTGATTGTGGTCAACTGGCTTATAATAAGTAAAAAACGGCTTTACTCTACGAAGCAAATCTTCTCGAAAGTATGTATGCCCCGCTGGTGACTACCGAGTAAAATAGACCACTCGAAAGTATCTCCCGCAAAAGTATATTACTTTAAATTTAATATATTCGTTTTTTTATCAATAAATTTATATCGCGTAGTAACTAACGTATGTCGCGTGTAGATTTTGAGTATAATAGTTTGAGTATAGTAGTTTGATACGAAATCGAATCATCATCATCAACATTATTATCACGGCCTTTCACAAGTCTACTGTTGAACATAGGCCTCCTTAGAGGAATGCCACAAAATCTATAATTATAATCATAATCTAAAAATAATTAATAAATTAAATTAAATTTATCACTTCTAAACTAAAATAATAGAATGCAAAAATTTTGCAAGACTAAAAACACACAAGTACCTCCTCGGTAATTTATGTTAACACAATATGTTTAGGCCAAATATTATCATGTGGGCGAGGTTAGTTGTTTGCGGCCGCCGAGTCGGTTAGACGGCCTGGAGTTTACTATCGAATCGTTTGGGTCTCATTAAGACCGCCTCCTTTGCATTGTCTTATTTCGTTCGTATACGTGACAAGAGGTTTTCCTTGAGTTTTGAGTGATTAATTTAACTTCGATTGCCATTAATTTGCGTCTACGAGTTGTTGTTTGTGTGGCATTTTAATATCGTACGAAGGAATTTTGCTTTGTCGGGTGGCACGCTAAAACTTTGTGACTCGAGAGGAGATCGCGTGCGCTCGATTATAATTTTGTGGCAAGTGAACATGGGATATTGAACTTTGACCGACCGTTCTTAAGTTGTGCAGCGTGTCACTTGTTTTAATTTCGATTAACGTTGATTTGGTTGAATTTGAAGTGAATTGAATGTACAATAAAGTTGATAAACTAATATAGTGAAATAAAAGCAGAAGGTTTCAATTGGTGAACGCCCACTGGAGGGATCGCACATTTTGGAGAAAAGCAGCGCCTGTGGATCTGTTGTCCGATTACATCGGTGACTTCAGGTTACATTTATACACCCTTTCGCCCACTACTTACATACACCTTACTTACCACCTGACTGATACCCTGTGGTCAACCCTACCTCCGGAATTCAGTAAGTTTGTGTTTGCTTATCAGCCATTAGTTAATTGTCCATAGGCCATTTGGGCCCAAACCCTCTGTTGCTCGTCGAGTGTGCTACTATGGGCCCTAGTCGACCTTTGTCGGGGCAACTGAGGGCCGTAACACAATATATTCAAAAAATTCATTTTTTTTTAATTTGCTCCAGTGACAAAAATGACTGCCCATCCACCGAATACGACAGAAGAAAGTTCACAAAACTCCGATATGTGCGAATCGAAAAGCTTATCTCCACCAACTAGTGTATCGGAGATATCCGCCGACTTAGAGTCTAGGCATGAAGATAATATTTCAAACATTGAAGAAGTTAACAAGATGGAAGTTGATCAAGACCTGAAGGAGGATACTCCAGAAGTTCAAAATGGAAGGCTTAGTGAAACGACCTTGGATATAATAGTGAGTTTTTTTAATTTTATTTTTAATTATATGGTCATCAAAATAGAGATAATTTCTTCTTCCAGAAATATAATATTTCGTGTATGTGATAGTACTAAATGCGGGTTTACCATCAAAAACAACTGGTGATCATTTTTAGAGTTATAATACCTTTAACTATACTATAAAAATGATCACCAGTTATCCACGAAGTCCACCTGTTTCTGCCCGTAAATAATAATGCACTCGCTGCCGTGTTCCGCTCTGTGAACAGTCTATATTTTTAAAATGGTGGTCCTTCTTCGGTCGAGCCGAGTCATTCGCGCTACAACCATCATATACTTGCGGCATGACTGCCATGTATAAAAATATAAGCCACATTTACTATGTTGGGCAGACGGAATGAAGAGCACAAAGCCTAAAATTGGTCCTTATTACCAGTCTGTGAGATTTGGCCTGGACCTAATGTAGATGGATTAACATCTATCATTCGAAACAGTGTGCAGCTTACTTAACCTCTTAGCTCCAATCGTTGATATTTTCATCGAAAATGTTTTGTTAATAATGTTTAAACTAATTTTAGAACCCTCAAACTGAAGCATCACAAGATTCAAGTCAAACCACAATACAGTCAGAAGAAGTGCCTATAGAAGAGGACATTGAAGATAAAGTGATACCTAGGCTAGTTAACACTACAGTACCTTTAGAAGTTCTCAATTCAGTTGACCCTGAGAACTGGACTACTTCAGATGTTTCAAAGTTTCTCACTGTAAACGATTGTCAACCTTACTGCATTAACTTTGCACATATCACTGGAGCCATGATGCTCCAACTGTCCAAAGATGAAATAATTGAACTTTTAGAAATGAAAGTAGGCCCATCGTTGAAAATATTTGATTTAATACAACAGCTGAAATGTAAGATTAAACAACCTCAGTGCAGAATGCTAGCATTTAAGTAGTCTATAAACAGGTTATGTTTAAAAATCGCATACATTATCATACAGTACCAGGTGGAACAGTTAAAGAAAGACGACAGAAAAACCATGTTTGATAAAATTTTAAAAAATTTGTGTTCCTTTAATAAAGTATCGTATTACTATTGTAATGTCATGAACACTTGTTATGAAACGTATCGCAGCGTATGATTATGACTCCTGGTATTATATTTTATCTAGTATTAATTTCACTTAAATAAAGCAAAGTGAGCCAGCAAGTCCGTTCTCATTGACTTTGACATAAATCTGAGAATTTTACGTACGTGACGTATTTATGTCTAGAATGATTGCCACATTGTAAATTCTGGGTTTAATATTCAGCTTCTGAAGGGAATATTTATGCAAAATCTGTTTTTTTAGTTTTCAATTATTGTGATCTGCTATTTAATTATTAATACCTCAAGCCTAACTTCGTCTTCAAAAATTAGGTTACATGTTTAAATTTGGCCAGAGCATCATTAGAATAATTATGATAACATATACAAGTCAATGCCTGGCCTGGATATGCATTTCTTTGTTGGAGCAATCATGGTAAAACTTTAGTAATGGTAGATATGTATGATTATCTATAATGCACGTAATGATATTTCGCCTTAATACAAAATGTAGTTTGTAATATGTAAATATAAACTACTTAAGGCTAATTATTAGTCGCAGGTTTAAACTAAGTCTGTTTTAATAAAAAAAAGTCCCGTGGAAAATTTGCGGGCTGTAATGTAAAATATGGAACTGGACAGCTAATGTCAAATTTCGCGAAGACTGGTGCCATGGATTAGGGCCTTTTTAATGAAAAATACTTCCTAAGAAATACTTTAAGCCCGAAACTAAATAAATCAAGTCTTGTAATAAGACGGATTATGTCTAATAAATGGGCTCAGTTTAAATAATTCCAAAACCAAAAGGAAACGGAAGCAATTTTTCATTTATAGAAAATATGTTTTCATGAGAATTGAGAATTAATTAGACCTCTATCTAAAGTGAAAATAGTAAAATTCAGTTTGCAGTTTCTAGCTTTTGATGTAAAGTAAAAACAAATATTGTCTGATATATAGCTACCTAAAAATGTTTGAAGGAACCAGTAGTGAGTTAATATGAGTATTTCAACATGTTAAGAATATCAATGAAATATTTCAATATAGAGGCCAACTTTCTTGTCATTTTGTAGTTGTGTGTAATTTTATGGATTTTTTTACTTATGTCTGTATGTTGATCTACGAGCTACATTAAGAATCGTACAAGAATTGTACATATTTTTACGTTATGGTATTGTTAAAACCTTAAAACGTTGCCAGAACTACATTAAGTTAACGTGGGCCATGCACGTCAATCTGGACGCGTCGGAGGCCATATATAGCGACGAGTTGTATACAGCTACAACTACAACTTCAAAAACTACAATGCAAATTTTGCGATCGTGAAAGGGGCAACATTCGCGTCTGACAGTGTGTGCTTTAGATATGAGCGCCGAAGGCCAATTCCACGGCGGCGGCGTGGATTGAAAATTTTCTCGGCGCCGTCGGCGTCGCGACGGCGCGGCGTGGCTGGCCATAGGCCTTAGATATTGTTTTATCAGGAGAGATTTATTAAAAAAAAAAAAAACTTAAAGAAAACCATATTGTTGGTACCAAAAACAGCTTTTTATTTTTAATAAAGCCCTGGGGAGTCCCAGCCCAGTGATGGCAACAGTATTTCATATGAGGCCGAACCTGCGCCTTGTAAAATTGTTTGCGGTGTGCCGGCATGAAATACTGTCCCGCTCTGCTGAGCACGCATTGCGTTTTAGAGGCCAATTTGGCCTTCTCTTCCAAGTGATCACGAAACTTTCACGTCACTCGATATGTCGACGCCGAGGATTCCGATACTGACTGAAGCAACAAGGGGAGTGCCTTGAAACTGAGGGGATGCTCCGATCTGCAAGAAAACTGATGATTCAGTTGCACAATTTCTCGGGAAGCCCATAGAAAGGGAGCTTCGAAAGAAGCGCTTTGTGCCAAACCTGATCGAAACGTCTTAGCAATGTCCAAACTAACTGCCAATGCTTCCTCTTGGACTTGTGGCGGCGCAGTCGTCGCGCCACAAGCGAAACACATCGAAGCCTAAATCGCGCTAACAAAGTTCCGAAACTAAAGCAGCATATTATATAGAATAGCTCCAAACTACCAAGAGCGTTGGCCGCTCCCTGGGCAGAACACCTTGCCCGGCGGGAGACCTCCCCTTTTCCATCCACCCGCCACAGACTCTTATGCCTCCGCCCATTTATGAGTCAGGTAAACCAGAAGATCACCAGCTGACCGACCCCTACGAAAACCGTATTGGCGGTCACTAATCAGCTCGTGATCCTCAAGATACCGCATGAGCTGACAGTTTATAATGGATTCCATTATTTTGGAGAACAAGGTGATGGCGATAGGATAGACGGGTCTGAGCGGTCGCCTTTTTAGCCAGCCTGCAGAATGCAATCGCGATGTTAGTGTAGTGGCACCACACTCCGGACTCGATAATGATCCGAGGAGCCAAGAGGGGAGTGGATGGAGACCTGATATCTATCTGAATGAAAGGTCAGCAGAAGGTCCAACAGGGAAGGTGCATGATCTTCCACATCTGGGATCCGCGTAGGCGAAGTTACCAGTTGTGTAAGACCATATGCCAAGGCAAAATCATGAACTGATCTCTCCGCATAATCGATTAAACATGAACAGAGCCATTCGGCGTCGTGGGCGTTGCCATCACCAAGTATCACAATCTCTGCGGATGGGATCTGCTGTAGCAAGGAATCTGTAGCTATTTCGACGTGGTCGATGAATCGGTCTGTTTCGGCATTACAGCTATGGGATTTATAGAGGCACCCGTAAACATGCGGATGGTCATCGCTGTCTACGCGTAGCCAAAGGATAGACAGGCCCTGCCACGTGACTTGTCACGTGGCAGGGCCTGTCCAGTCCTATCACCTAGAGAACATGAAGAGGGATCTTCATCTAATTTTAATCTTTCACGAGAACATGGTATTCCCCAACCTCCTCTTTAATTTTATGTTGTGTAGCCAGAGTTTTAGTATTTTCGTCCATAATACATTGAAGCGATTTAAAGCTCTTGATGGCTTTAAAGTAAATCTTTAAAATCACTGTCCAATTCTAACAATTTTATCCACTGATAACAGAGTTCTTATTCGATCGGCCAGCGAGCAATGCATGACATACGTTATGTCGCCGCGTCAGTTTGGTGTGCACACCGATCTTACAAGAAAATTATGAATTATAAGACGTTTCAGACGTGTGTGTCGGTCTAATGTAGTTCTCTCGCGTTTTGCACCTACTTTTACCCAAGTGAATACAAATATTTTATGACTAAGTAAGTGTCTCCGCTCTTTTACTGACTTCAATTATCTAAGTAATCTTTAGTATTTTTTAATAATAAAAATCAGCTGATTAAAAATAACCACTTTGTACAACATTCTTCAACATTGCAACATTATAATTGCTTAATAGCAATTTCGGTGGCGTAATTAGTTTATATCATTGATCCCGTGTGTCGCTTTTGTGGACTACATTTTTTATTTAAATTACAATTTCGGACAAAATTTATGTTATGTATTTTTCTGTATACATTATATTATACAAATTAAAACATATTTGTAATATTTGCAACAATAAATTATTAACAATATTTTTATATAAGTACTTACTTTACAAGCTAAGCTAAATATGTTTGCTTTACAGTAATACGATTTATCACAAAATCAATCTCTTCCAAGACGCAAATATTTTTAGCACACGTTTTAAATCGACAAGTAAAATAAGTATAAAGAAATCAAATTTACATTTACTTTAAAATCAATATCTAAGAACGCAATATTATTTTATTCATGAAAATGTAGCGCAAAAAATCTTTAAATATAATTGAACGCATGACAGAATTTTTGAAATACAACTTAATTTGATTTATTTAAAGCTTTATTAAAACCCTTAAATTATGTTTACTCACTCACAAATCTTAAAAAATCACGAATACATCTGTCATAACTCGAAATTTTTTTTTATTGTATAAAAAATAAACATTCGGTTTTTGTTTTTTCTTATACAAATATTGTCATTACTGATGAATAATTCGTTATGACGTATGTATTTAGTGAATAATACACTTTAGAGTAAATATCGTAATCAAGATAATTACTTTAAATGATATCTATTGATAATGTACTATGATAATCAAAGCGAATAACACCTGTGTTACTTTTAAATTGTAATTAATTTTACTTATTATAATATAACTAAATGAAAAACGCTTTACATTGTGTATTATCTAAACATTTAAATAGGTAATGTTTTAAATATTTTATTAGTGACTATTCATTTGATCATGGATTTTACTTGACATTTATTGCTAAGAATAGGTAATACTATACACCAAATATATTACAATTTCTAAAGGCGCTTATAAAACAATGTAAATTGTATTAGTCCATTCATGCTGGGTCATTTAATAGAGTACGAAAACTCGCAGAGAGTACTCGCGAATGTAACATAGATGAATTTGTGAAAATTAAAATAATATTATATAAATTTAAAGCAAGGTCTGTGCTGTATTTATTTTGAAATAAAATCTGCCTTTATAGTGACTTATTTAAATATGAGCCTAGTTAAGCCAGCACATTTTGTGTTTTAGTGTTTGAATGTTCTGGTAATAAAACAATTTTTAATTATAGTGTTGTATATTTTTACTAACAAAAAATGGACGGAGAATTTAAATTTAGCAATCAATTCGTCGTAAGATGTCACCAATGTATGTCTTTATTGGAATGGAATTCTTGCAACATTTGGCTCGTCAGCAATCTGGAAGAGAACAATACAAGCAGAATTATTTTGTCAAAAGTTTTCGGGGCCAAATTGACTTAACATCCAACTATTAATATTGGGTATAATATTAATAGTTGTGTGTAAGTCTGTACAATTCCCTCATTAGAATTATTTTTGAATTAAGGCACATGAGTAAAGAAACCGTACCGTACAGAGGCAAAGCTTCATACAACCACGCTATGATAGTTACACTACTACAAACTTGAAGCGCGTGTGTGCGTGAGCAGTGGCTGCTCGTCAGTTACAGAGAGAAACTGCTTTAAACTGTCTCGGCCAGTGCTCCAACTCAGGGTGATGTAAAAAAATAATTAGTGTCAAATTTTGTTTTTTAAAGAATAATTCGTATCAAATGAAATATAAAAAAGTGTAAATATGGTTTAGGTTTACTAATACCTACGTAGATTTAAATGTTATCGAAGTTGCCGCAAAAGATACCGCTGATTTAGTAAATAAAATTAATAACTTATGTATTTGATTTATTAAACCTAAGTACACTGCGATCTCATAATAAATATAAAAGAGCTTTTCGATGCGATACTTATCAAATTATCAAATTGCGTTGTTAAAAGAAATGCTAAAATTTTTCAGGAACTTAAAATTAATAAGAAGTGATAAGCAGAAAGACGTTACAAATAGCATGAACTTCATTCACGGATTTTAAGTGTCTATAAAATCTTTAATAAAACTTCATGAAGAATTAAAATCAGAAGAAATTAAATTAATTTATATTTACGAGTAGTCTCACTCCAGATTGTTTCGAAAATTTCTTTGGCAAAGTCAGGCGGGTGATAATATAATTATAAAAGTAAAATATTTAGAATACGTAGTTTGTGAAAAATATTCAATTAATTAAAAAGCTAATAAACGTTTTATTTTAACCCTTCCAAAATTGGTAAAAATTTTGACAGACCCTTAGAAGGTTTGCCTCCGTACTGTTTCTTTACACATGTGGCTCTAGTATTGTTAGGATGGGATACAGAATCGGGGTCGTTTCAATATTTTTCAAGAGTATCCTTTTATATAAAGAAATAATTTTTCTCAAGTTTTTTTAATTTTGTAAATTATACAGGTTGACCCAGAAATCGACGTCAAGCCGGAAATGGGTGATAGAGTAAGTAATGATAGTTATCAGAAAAATAAAATAAAAATAATTATATTACGTATTTTTAAAAATAATAGGCAATTTAAGAAATCGAGAAAATCTACACTAAGTGGAGGTCTTTTAACTCCCGTCACTACAAATCTTTATTTATTTTTTATGTAATCCTGAGTAATAATTCTGTAAGTTGTTGCCTAAAATTTAAAACCATCTGCTCCAGCTTGGAAGAAAATGTTGTAACGTACGGCTCTAACGTACTCTATAATGTATCTCACATTTCGTAAAATTACTTTCTCCGTCTCTCTCCGTCTCCGACTGCGTCTACCTGCTGTTTTTGAGAATCATTAGTCATTACGAATCGTCTCGCATGCGTACTTGACGACTTCCTGCTTTCCAAACAAGCCGGTTTCCGAAAAGGCTTTAGTACTATAGATCACATACATACATACCATTGGGCAAGTTGTACAGATGACCGAAGAGTACAATCTGCCACTTTACCTTGCATATGTGGACTATGTGAAAGCCTTTGATTTTGTCGAAGTTTGTGCAGTGCTACAGTGCCTTCAGCGGTGCTAAGTTGACTGTCGGTATATCGAAGTGCTGATGTGTTTGTACAGTAGGGCTACGATGGCTATCCGAGTACAGAACCAGAGTACGAAACCTATTCAAATGCAGAAAGGTGTAAGACAGGGTGACGTCATATCCCCCAAACTTCACCGCTGCATTGGAAGACGTTTTCAAGCTTCTGGACTGGAAAGGATACGCTATCAACATCAATGGCGAGTACATCACTCACCTTCGATTTGCCGACGATATAGTCCTTATGGCAGAATCGCTGGAAGACCTAAGCACTATGCTCAATGACCTCAATAGTGCTTCCCAACGGATAGGTCTTAAAATGAACATGGACAAAACAAAGATCATGTTTAATATCCATGTCACACCTAAGTCGGTAGTTGTTGGGAGCACTAAGCTCCAAGTTGTTGATGAGTATGTTTACCTGGGGCAAATAGTCAGACTAGGTAAGTCCAACTTCGACTGAGAGGCCAATCGACGGATTTAACTCGGTTGGGCAGCGTTCGATAGATTACGACACATCTCGTCAGGTATACCTCAAAATCTGAAATGGTTGTTTATAAGCAATAATGAATATCTAGTCTTCTGTTTTGTAAGATACATTTTTTATATTGTGTTTTGTGAGCATCATAGATAATAAACGGTGGCAGTCATAAGGACTGCCGACAGAAGTAAAAACTCAATGATGTAGACTAGTGACGCGTAGTAGCGAGCATGTCGAGGTCATCGGTGACGCGAACCAAAAAGATTTTCCCCTACCAAAAATCGCTCAACGCGGCTAAAGAAGTTTTCCAAAAATGTTAGCAAAGGAGTTGTTAACTCACCTCATGGTATGTGTTGGTATGTTAGGGGCATAGAGCACACAACACAGAAGGTTACCGGATCGCTGCGCGTGACATTTGTGATATTCGGAACACCAGTACGTTTCGCACATCTTGCCGATTGATGATTCGTTATCTATATCTGAAATATTATTTAGTGCTGTAAGTCGCACGTAAAAGAGAAATCATAGTGAATAAAAATATCAGATGATAAGCCAAAGCAGAAAGTATTTTATGTAGTAGTATATCAACGGATTACTTGATACGAGTGTAGACATCGACATGTATGTACTACACACCAGATTTCGCATTCCGAACATTCACTGTGTTCAACTGAACTGTACTGCAATCCGTACACCTTACGAGTAATTAGTGTCATTTAGTGTGGCTTCAATATTCATGCAGTGTGGAGCGGCGCTGATAATACGAGATTTCAAACTAAAGTTTAAACCTGAACGTAAATAACAATTCAGTGGTCAAGTAAGTAAAATTATTTGTTGTTCAAGTGAATAAATAGGTAATAATATATAAATTGCGCATGCGCGGCTCTACTATCTCCTGCGCATGCGCGAAGACATGAGTAGCGCACATTTTTTTGTTAGGAAAAGCTTCTCTAGTACGTAGTACAAATAACTCAATGAGTGTAGACAATAAGTTTATAACTGAGCGGCGTCAGTTTACCTAATACTAGTAGGTGGCGGCTGGTAGGATGTCTTTGTATCTTAAAGAAAACTGAATCTCTTAATCGCAAACATAATATAAAAGTTGATACCCGCATAGTGGCAGTAATAGGCAAGAGGGTGGTCACTACCTTCCTAATTCCCAGGAAGAAAATAATTACCCTTTTCTAAAATTTCTCGAATGTTTAATTCCGGAGCCAAATCTCTCGCAGAGGTAACGTAAAATGTTCGCAAAATGTCCATACGATGAAACCCTGACATCCCTCTGGTCTTTTGGTTCGATAATTGCAGGTGACGGGAGAAAACAAACCTCCGCAGAGTTATGTTCACGATGAAAATGCTGAAAATAAAAACGGACAGCTGGTTATAGTGTTATAAAATTAGTGTGACTTTTGATTTAGTTGAAAGTCATACCCCAAAACACATGGCTCGAATGTGATACTCAAAGGGAAGTTTCTTGGGTGAATGAGTTTAGCTTCTTTTATTATTTGTGCGTAGCCCTCCCAACATTGTAATACTATTTCGTCGATTTGAGACAAGGCAGGCGTCGCGCCGCATACCACGAGTACGTATACGTCCGCTAAAAGTTTACATGTCACCGCTCTGAATGCTACCTGAATAGAAAAAAAAAACGATGTCATTTCTTGAATGCTCTAAAGACTGTTTTTTATGAAATTACTAGCTGCGCTCCGCAATTTCACAGTCCAAGTTAACTAAAAAACTGGCCAAGTGCGAGTCGGACTCGCGCTCCAATTCACCCGTATCACCAAATTATGCAACACTTAACTCGAGTCCGCCCCGCACTTGGCCAATTTACATTTTTTTGGTAAACGAGCATGCATAAATTAGTTGGTATACTTTTTTTTGTGGAGTATATGTATAGTTTGTGGACTACAATCACACTAAGTTTAAATATTGCATATTTTTTACGATATAGCTAAAACAAAAAATATTGAAAAACTATGTTTCCTGTTTGGGTATCCTCTTAAATTTTTCACTTTCCATTTTTATTATTTGGTGAGAAAGCCTGAATTTTGTGATTATACGCATTCTGTGAAAATTTCAATTAGATACCTACAACGGTTCAAGAGATATAGCCATTTATAGGTAGAACGGACGGACAACATAAGCTTAGTAATAGGGTGCCATAGTTTTATATGGAACCATAAAAATTAAACATCATTTGAAGGTGATATGTCAGCTTCTATAGTGCTGTGGCGCGACGACAGCGCCGCCACAGTGCCATGCTATGTGCTATAGAAATTCAGGGGATCAATTAATACTTTGAAGGCGTTTTTATCAATACATTGAAATTGAAATCGGTGAAAATGCACCATTTCGTTTCAAGTTGATGCTACGAGAAAGTGGACTAGACCATTGATATTGACATTGTGCAGCATTATAAATAAACATGGTAAAGCCATGATGCAGCTATATTACGGCTGCCGCACCAACGTGCAACCATCTCAGCCGGAGAACGACGAAGCTCTCTCACAGAATACGAGCGCAGTACTGCTGTGTTTCGTATGGCAAACGTAAAAAACTGGAGATCAAAAATACAGTAATCGTGCTGTATTTAATAATCCCGTATAGAGATCCACCATACAAACAGCCTATTCATGTCTTTTAGCCATGGTTTGATTGCACCCACTTCGACCAATTGCTGTGTATACAAGCAAGGAAAAATATGCTATATTTTTATTCACCAAGGTTTATGGATGCTCTGGCTATTTCCTCACTGTTTAGATGCTGGGGTTTTTTAATATTTTGTAATGGCTACTTGTGGATAAACATCATAAAAAAGACATGTATTTATTTTAGCGGGACGCCCTAAGACTAGATGAACGATTTGGGCATGGTGGCTTATAACAACGGGATGCGTGGAACTGAAGACTGGGCTAAGTAGCGTGCCTTGGGAGGGGCTTATGATCATCAGTGGACTGCCGCAGGTTGATGATTCAGATTATGATGATGATGAAATAGTGTTGAGTATAGGGTGAAAAAGTCTTTAGAAATAAAACTTATCTTACAAATGAATAAAATTGAAGTGTCTGTTTGTAATGTTAAAATAACCGCTTTTTACTAAATGCATATGAAAGTATATACGATATTTATAACAAAAGCACAATTTTTAAAATTTTTGTCTGTCTGTCTGTTTGTCCGGCTGTGTCTCCTTATAACATCAGCTGTCTGCCAGTGAAAGCCCCGGCAAAATCGGTCCACGTTTCGGAGATTAGCCAGAACAAACAGACAGACAGACAAACACTATTCTTTTATTACAACCGTATATACTTACATATGCATTTAGTAAAAAGCTGTTATTTTGACATACAAACATGCACTTCAATTTTATTTATTTGTATAGATAAAGATATTAATATTTATAAATTCAATGATTTTTAACGGTGGTAAAACGTGAACCTCAACAAGTAGCATGAAATCTTTAATAGCACAAAAAATCTTACATCCGGACTCATATATGGCAGATAAACTAAAGTATCTCTTAAAGGGGCGCCATCTTGCGCCGCTGCGAGAAGGAGCAATCGCGCCTCCCTTGGGTCTAACTCAGAGAAATCTGAGCTTGTTGCCACCAAGTGTCCATGAATACTCAAACATGCCCATCTGCCTGTAACTTTTTCTGCATAGTTATCTAAGACTTGCTGAAAAAAAATACATTTATTAAAATGTGCAAATAAAAATAAAATAATAAAATTAGGTATATATATATACATATTATGTTCATAAGTAATCTATGATTGTTCTTTTCCTTGAGTATATTTTGTTGAAGTTTAGAATGTTAAGCTCACAAAAATTTTAGTTTTATGCTCTATAAATAATTATTATGGGTGTAATTCAGACAATCCTGTTACAAATCATACTAAAAGTTAAAAAAGTTAAAGTTACAGCCTATGTATGTCCCACGGTTGGGCACAGGCCATTTACACTTGCACATTTGGTCATTCGAATAGAATACGATCCAAAATGAATGTTAGTTATTTGTATATAATGAATAGTAGTTAGTTCCTCCAAATTTAGGAAACAATGTTAGTTTCACGAAATTTAAGAATGAGTCATAAATAGCAGATATTAAATACGTTCAACTACTGGCGTTCACAGAGGTACGGGCAAGAAGCAGTCTCAGTTAAATAGGTCCATGAGCAAAAAACGACAGGTTTCTGTTTCTCATTTATAGAGGGTTAAAATAACAGGACCCGGCAATGACAATTACTCTCGCTTACCCAGTGCTCACTCACTCAGGTTTGACTGTACTGACTACCTCGTTGGTCTACTGATCGTAAACGCGATTGCTGATCATGGCGATCCGGGTTTGAATCCCAGGCCGTACCAAAATCAATTATTGGGTTTTTCTGTCCAGAAACTCTCAGCAGCCCGGAGCCAGGAAGTTGGCGGAGTTTCACTCCGTGCCTTGGAACGCAGGTGAAGCCGTTGGTCCTACGCCTCGTGTCGGATTACCGTCCCATCGGACTATGAAAGTGAAGGAATAGAGCGTGCAATTGTGCTTGCACATACACTTGGGCACTATAATCCTGTTCTGCGCAGATTGCTAGTCTCCGTTGAGACTGAGTGCCATGACCGAAATTAGGTCTAGAGGGCATTATCTAGACTACTCTTAATATCCTTAGTTGTGCAAAATAAACCATCTCATTTTCTTTATTTACTCGTATTTTATTTTTTCTAGCTTAATATCCTAGTTGTGCAAAATAAACCATCTCATTTTCTTTATTTACTCGTATTTTATTTTTTCTAGCTTAATATCCTAGTTGTGCAAAATAAACCATCTCATTTTCTTTATTTACTCGTATTTTATTTTTTCTAGCTTAATATCCTAGTTGTGCAAAATAAACCATCTCATTTTCTTTATTTACTCGTATTTTATTTTTTCTAGCTTAATATCCTAGTTGTGCAAAATAAACCATCTCATTTTCTTTATTTACTCGTATTTTATTTTTTCTAGCTTAATATCCTAGTTGTGCAAAATAAACCATCTCATTTTCTTTATTTACTCGTATTTTATTTTTTCTAGATTAATATCCTAGTTGTGCAAAATAAACCATCTCATTTTCTTTATTTACTCGTATTTTATTTTTTCTAGCTTAATATCCTAGTTGTGCAAAATAAACCATCTCATTTTCTTTATTTACTCGTATTTTATTTTTTCTAGCTTAATATCCTAGTTGTGCAAAATAAACCATCTCATTTTCTTTATTTACTCGTATTTTATTTTTTCTAGCTTAATATCCTAGTTGTGCAAAATAAACCATCTCATTTTCTTTATTTACTCGTATTTTATTTTTTCTAGCATTGACTTACACAATTCTTATCATTACATTTTGCATATGACTGATGTAAATTCTTTAGACTAGAGTAGAGTAGTCAGAGTTGTGTGACATCTGATACTGTGATATCTAATTACAAAGCTTTCTACTATAAAAATATAAGAGAGGAGGTTGGTGCCCAGCAATGGCTTGTATAAAGGCTGTGATCTTAGATTTAAATTAAATTCAGAGTTACCCATGTGCAGCAGTTGTTTGTTACAGGCTGGTAAAGATCATTAAATACTAAGCTATGCACTGTACAGGTGAAAGCAATTCATAAATACATCAAATATAACAATATCTCACCTGCAATTGTTGTGATTGTGAACACAGAAAACTTTGAATTAGATCAAGGACCAAAGTCATGCGTGGCAAAGTATTGGGATCTAATGACTCCAGCAAATAATCTAAAATTGGATAGCATTGCCGTAAATCTCTTTTTATTTGGTCTATATTCTTGAGATTCTCCAATTCTTTTTTTCCTACACAAAATACCATGGCATCATTTATGTTGGACAGTAGATGTTCTAGGTCACATTCCAACCCACCTGTTACAATGCCTATTAGTGTTACACTGCAAATGGAAATGTATAAAACTTTAAGTTAAGGTACATTGTATCATCCAGTTTAATAATATTGCAGACATTAATTATGAAAGTGACAAGTCACATGGGAATGATTTATTGCCATGCCATCTTTGTTATGGTAGGAAGTAGTTAAAATCTATGGCTTCAAAACCACTGATTTAAAATATAAGCAAAAGAATGTGGTTGCCACATAAGACAGTTTATAACCCCCATTTCATATTATATGAGGTTTATAGTTATTCTAATATATGTAAATATACCATACATAATGATATACACTCTCATTGTAACTATCATTCATATTAAACAAAAAATACAATTTAGTAGGTGAGATGACGGTCCCTCCTTAGTCAAGTCGAACCAATTTTTTGTTGTACAACTATATGTATATATGTATATGGTATGGCTTTACTGTGAATAAAACCTGACATTAAATTTATTTATATTTTACTGTAAAGTGGCAGTGTAAAAACATCCACTACTGTGCATGTTGTAAGAGGTAACAGAGGGAAACAAACCAGATGATGTGCAGCAGCATCTTTCTAATACCAATAATTATAACTTTTAACAAAAAATAACAGACTTCAAATTGCTAAAAAAGAATTTATTTATTTGATACCCTTAGGGGTGAAATGTTTTCCCATATTTTGGAAATTACACCACCAACCTTATATTATAAACTATTTAATAAAAAAAGAATCATCACAATTAATTCACAATCTGCGAAGATATAGCATAACATACATACAAAAAAACATACATTCGAATTCAGAACCTTCTCCTTTTCGAAGTTGGTTAAAAAGGAATTAAAACCTTATGAGGCAATCTATGAGAGGTCTGTGTTCAGCAGTGGATTTTAATAGACTTTAATACAATTCTATTCATTTTTTTAAATGTATCCTCCTCACTAGGATTTTCTCCTGTATTATGGGGACAGTTTACATAAATAAATTTCGCCTTCCTGGAACAATTCCTGAAAAAAGCCAGACAACATCTTCCAACTCGTTATTAAGCCACAGAGCCATCAAATTAATGATGAATTAATATTAACTTTAGTAATTCTTTTCAAAATGTTTTGATTATTAAATGGTAGAAGCTCATGTTCAGCTGTAGTTTATTTAAAGGTTAAAGGAAAATGAAAATACTAATTTATGTAAAAGAAACTAAACACCAAAGGGCAGCACCAAAATTGTTTAAAAGATCTCAAACATTTAAAAAAAACACAATACTACACATGATTGCTAATTTATTCTTATAAATTTTTTAAAATTTTTTGTAATTATTGTTTAACATTAGAACATACTAAATTCAACCCTCTCAAATTAAACTCTTATACATGATTTAAAATAGAGAGCTTTTATTCAACCATTCAGTTCATAAACATACATTAGAATTGTGGGGCCAATAGGCTTACCTTTTAAAATATTCTTTCCAGAGAATGCTTCCATTTTCAAGATGTGTATTTATAACAGATAAATTATGGCATTTACTGAACATATTGATGCCATGAAGGGAAGCAATCGTAGAAAATTGTATCTGGTCATGAAAATAATTAGTCTTTAATTATTTCTATATTTTTATTCATTAAACAGAATAAATAGATTAAAAACACAAATAAAATAAAATTAAATAAAACTACACAAATACCTATTTGTAACAAATTCATGATAAATTAAAGAACTTAGTAAAAAGTTAAAAAAAGTCAAATGTTTACATTTTCATTATTGCCGCGTTTTCTTGTAAATATTGGTACGCCACTTTCAGTGGCTACAGCGATGACAATAACAGACATTCTACACTTCTGCAATTTTTCTCGTAAGAATTTTTAAAGCAATTATTCACAAGGAAATCTCTAAGAGATATGTATACAAGTTTATCTTAGTATTTTATTTTTATGGTTAGTATTTTTAATTTTTTAACATTGTTTTTCAGGACCATTCACTTTCTAAAATCTCAACTAAATAAACACTAATCTATTTATTTACGTTAGTACTTTTTATTAGTTAGTGCTATTTAAGTTAACATCAAATAATAATTAAATCACAAGTTACCACTACCGTCGCAATAAACAATAACAAACGATTGTCAATGTCAATGTCAAATGTCATTGTCATAATGTCATATATCTCTTTTTTTTTGGAGTTTATGGCCTGGCATCTAGACCTTTAGGCCAAAATGTCATATATCAATGTAATTTTCACGTAGACTATGATGATTCTTCTCTTCTTCTTAATAACTGGCTTTACGGCTCTGGGATCTAGCCTTTCTGAGCCTGAAGTTACAATATATTAAAATAATTATCCTTCATAGTATACTGCTTCACAATATGTTGATGCGTCACATTGTGCAGTCCTTGGGAGATTTTGACGGCAGCTTGAGCCAGCAGACAGCTGGACGGTTCGCGATGGTATCTCAAGGCGCCTAAGCAGGCAGACACCTTATTTTGAGAATCACATCACCATCAGAGCACTTGTTTCACAGTTTCCACTAATAGTTCACATGCGCAGACACTTAATACACAAAAACGCACCACTTTTACACATCAAAGTCCACTTCAAACCATTATTTAAACAATAATACAGGAGCAGCAAACCGCCGCCGGTCAAGTTCCCGTCAAACCTCCGAAGACTATGAATTTTCATTAAATCATGGAGTATAGAGTAGAAGGAGAACCATCTCTGTATATGAATAAGTGTCCGTAAAATCGCGTCGAATAAGGGTGGCGCTGTGGTAGTATAGGATAAATTAAAAAAAAAGCGCTAAAAGTAATTAGAATAAGATGGAGAAATAAACAGGGACCGAGCAATCCGCTTGGTTTTGGACTACGTAAATAATTTAGGTTTTACATACTGGCATTTTACTATAGTCATGAAATTATTTAAATATTTAAATTAAGTTGACTTCACTACGTCTACAACAGCTATATTCATATCATAGTTTCTCAGACGCCAGCGCTATTGTGGTAGAGATTTTTGAACCTCTATTTTCTTTATATAGTTGGACATTTTTTCAACTTTTCGCCCGTATGAGATTGTTCTACTTTTACCCTATACTCCATGGTTCCAATAAACACTGTGACCACTGTAAGGTATGACGTCTTTTCAGTATACTCTGAAGCCGTTCCTTTTTAGTTCGCTAACTACGGAGGACAGTAGCCCGCCTGCAACCCAGGAAGGCGCCAGGGCACGACGGGATCACCAACGCTGCGCTTCGACAGCTGCCCAATAGGACATTAGTAGAGATCGGACGACTCTACAATGGAATATTGCGGACATCCCATTTCCCGGAGGATTGGAAGATAGGGAAGGTAATTGAGTTACAGAAGCCCGGGAAGTACAGGCGTAGGGCTGCCAGCTACAGGCGATTACGTTACTACCGCACATAGCTAAACTGTTTGAAAGACTGATGCTAAGACGCCTCCGCCCGTGCATTCAACTTCGGGCGGAGCAGCACGGATTCAGGAGCGATCACTCAACAGTGACACAGTTGACCAGGGTTGCTGCACTACCTTGCGGCTGAGCACAACTTCGGCCGGATATCGTTGGGCGTCCTTTTCGATATAGAGAAGGCGTTCGACAGCGTGTGGCACTCTGGATTACTCTACAAATTAGAAGATCAAACTAGTATCCCTCCTGCTATGTTGCGGCTAGTGGCATCATTCCTGGCTGACAAGAAGTTCTACGTCTGTGTAGAGGACGCCATGTCCGCAATAAAGCCCATCAGAGCCGGCGTACCACAGGGCAGCTGTCTGTCACCAGTCCTGTACGCGGCTTACACCAACGATATCCCAACACTGGAAGGACACCTGCACGAGTGGGAGGACGACGTCGAACTGGCGCTATACGCGGAAGATAGCGCCTACTTCACCTCGTCCAGAAGAACCCACATCGCAGTTGCCAGGATGCAAAGGCTGTTGGACTTGCTGCCAGCATGGCTGGATGAGTGGAGGATGGCCGTCAATGTTGGTAAGACGGCCGCTCTGCTCACTCGCCGCTACAGAAAACCACCACCACCACTGACGCTCAGAGGACAGGATATCGCATACCAGATGGCCGTGTCGTATTTTGGATGCCGGATCGACAGAATGCTGCGCATGAACGCGCACGTCGATCTCGTCGTCCGCAACGCGAGAGGTGCACGGGCGGCGCTGCGTCCCGTACTGGCATCCAAGCTACTAATCAAGACAAAGCTGAAACTATACAAAATGTATATAAGACCAATACTAACTTACGCTGCTCCGGCCTGGTATGCGCTCCTGAGCGACCGGCAGAAGCGGCGACTGCAAGCCCAACAGAACTTGACATTAAGGACCATTGTTGGTGCTGGTCGCTACGTCCGGAACAACGTGATAGCGGTCGACCTGAAAATAGAAAACATAGAAGAATTTGTGGTCCGGTTGGCGCGCGGCTTGTTCGACCGCGCTGACAACGGGCCACACCCACACCTCAACAACTTCGCGCCGCTGCACGCCCGCCCCCCGGACGGGCGACCATTACCAAGAGAACTCCTCCCTACATAGATTAGGGAGTCGAGTAAAACCCACAATGCCACAGAAAGGCCAACATAGACACCCGGCCATATTAGCCGCAAGAACATCACAAACCGAACTAGGCGCCTTTTTCAGGCATTGGCCGAATTAGGCGCCTTTTTCAGGAAATTGGCCATATTATACCCCTTTTTCAGGTGTTGGCCATATTACCCGCCTTTTTCAGGCGGTTTCAGGAATAAATTTTTTAAGTGGTAAACCAACATACAGCGACCGGAATTGAACCCGTGTCTCTGTATTTAAAGATAAATGCCAAGAAGGCACCCATGACCGACCCATAGTTATGGGCCGTGAGGAACACTCAGGCAATGGAGAGATGCCCCGAGGCCTGTACAACGTAGTTTAGTTCGCTAAACTAATTAGTGCTTAAAACGGAAAGCAATCCAGTATACTGTCATCTCCCTTTTTTGATACTCTTTTCAAATGAAAATATTTATCATGTACCTACACGTTTTGTGTTCAACAAAAAATTTATTATTTGAATGTTGTTGCTTTTTAAACTTAATATGCGAGTTTATTTGAAAAACAATATTAATTAATAATAATAATCATCATCATCATCATTACAGCCCTTCACAAATCCACTGCTGAACATAGGCCTCTCCCAAGGAATGCCACAAAGCACGGTCCTGAGCCACCTGCATCCATCGACTTCCTGCATGTCTCACCAGGTCGTCACTACATCTAGTAGCGGGTTGCCCTACACTTCGCCTACCGGTACGAGGCTGCCTATATGGCCGGCCCACTGCCACTTCAGCTTACTAATCCGTTGGGCTATGTCGGTTACTCTGGTTCTACTGCGGATATCCTCATTTCTAAGTTTATCACGCAGAGAAACCCCGAGCATAGCCCTCTCCATAGCTCGCTGAACGACCTTGAGCTTCCTCATACGGCCAGCAGTGAAGAACCACGTCTCAGATCCGTAAGTCATCACTGGGAACACGCACTGGTTGTACAATTTCGTTTTCAGGTTTTGAGGTATGTCTAACGAGAAGATGTGTCGTAGTTTCCCGAACGCTGCCCAGCCGAGTTGAATCCGTCGATTGACCTCTCGGTCGAAGTTGGACTTACCTACTCGGACTATTTGTCCCAGGTAAATATACTCGTCAACAACTTCGAGCTTAGTGCTCCCAACAACTACCGGCATAGGTGTTCTGCCATAAGGACTATATCGTCGGCAAATCGAAGGTGAGTGATGTACTCGCCATTGATGTTAATACCGTATCCTTTCCAGTCCAGTATCTTGAAAACGTCTTCCAATGCAGCGGTGAAGAGTTTCGGCGATATAACGTCACCCTGTCTTACACCTCTCTGCAGTTGGATAGGTTTCGTACTCTGATTCTGTACTCGGATAGCCATCGTAGCTCTAGTGTACAAACACTTCAGCACTTCGATATACCGACAGTCAACTTGGCACCGCTGAAGGGACTGCAGCACCGCCCAAATTTCGACGGATTCAAAGGCTTTCTCATAGTCCACATACGCAAGGCAAAGTGGCAGATTATACTCCTCTGTCTTCTGTTCAATCTGCCGCAGGGTATGTATGTGGTCCATGGTACTAAAGCCTTTTCGGAAACTGGCTTGTTTGGGAGGCTGGAAGTCGTCAAGTCTGCGTGCGAGACGATTCGTAATGACTCTCGAAAACAGCACATAGACGCGGCTCAGAAGGGCAATCGGTCTGTAGTTCTTCCAGAGAGCATTGTCGCCTTTTTTGAATAACATGACCACCGCACTTCTGCTCCACGACTCCGGAGTAGTGCCACCATAGAGGACGGAATTAAAGATCTTCTGAAGGACTTCAAGTACCGGTTTTCCACCCGCTTTCAAAAGCTCCGCTGTAATTCCATCCTCACCCGGGGACTTGCCGTTTTTAAGGTGCTGGAGAGCCATTCTAATCTCGCTCAGACTGACGTCCGGGATATCTTCGGAATAGTGTTCGGATAAGACTCGCTCTTGGATCGTTACTCACACTTGCGTGTGGCTCCAACGATGACGTGTACAGCTGCCCATAGAACCTCTCAATCTCACTCAAAATCAATTAATAATAATAACAATCAATCGTGGAAGTTGTTAAATCACTAGGCAATGTTATGTTTTTTGATCACGTGATCCAAGTAGAGCACCTTACTTCGAAAGCGCCAGTGCTCACAATACATAAATGGCGGCGATTTATGACGTCATTTATTTCCCTATGGTATCTACTGCGGCAGTATACTAACAGTCCATAACGGATCGAAATTTTTACCAGTGAGAGAACCATAGATTACTGTATATATACTAGAGATAGATGCGCGACTCAAATTTAATTTTCGATATTGCTTCGTGTCTGCCTAACAGATGGCGCTTAATTCTTACAAAAGAAGGAACTTGAAAAAAAAAGGGAAAAAGTAAACACATCTGGAATCGAACCGGGGTCTTTTGGTTTCGGGACCGCCCGATTTCCCACCTATTATAACTGGCTATTATAACCTTGTACGTAGTGGGGAAATTTATCTTCGTATTCTAATGATATTTTAGCAGGTTTTCATTGCATTTTTATACAGTGGTAGAGCCACGCGGCAGCTTTTGCTGTCGCACGATTGGGCCGGCTCGAACCGGGGTGGTACCACGACCTCACAGAATACCAGCGTGAAGTAGAGGTTTACCTCTGCGTTTCGCTTGGTGAGTGCAGGTGGCCGGAGGCCCTTTTTACTGGAAATGAGGCATTCCATCTTAGTCCTCACAGGTGACAACGCATCTGCATTTTTATTCGCAAAAGAGGATAGATGTAGATGTCTATGGGCCGCAGCAACTACTTACCATCAGGTGGACTGTGTGCTCATTTGGCACCCTTATCCTATAAAAAAAAAATTGCCTGAAAACACAGATAAAACGGCATTTTCTAGAAATAAATCCTAGTTAAATCGATTTATCGCCCCCGAAACCCCCTGCATACTAAAATTCTTACCAAATTGGTCACATTTAAAAACACATTGCTTTCGCGACATTTTTAAACAAAAGCAAAACAGGGCCGCAGAAATATTAGCTATTATGTAAGAAAAATTAATTATTACGATAGAAAACACATGCAACGCACGAGAAATTTGAATAATGTTCGATATATATTAATAACAATTTAAGAGGCGTATTACAAAAAAACGCGAAATTACAAGTTTTCCTCGTTGTAATTGTATGTCTATTGTTCATTGCTTGAAATTATTTGCTTACAATTACTTGGTAAAGATAGTTCATTTTCTCTTCTCAAATAAGCTTAAAGCGAATTTTCGATAACTTATTTATTTATTCAGTATTAATAGTTCTCCCGATGCATGTTTAGGCAAAAACTCTCGAAGACATGATTTGGGAGCTCTAATTTGTAGATTCTATTGAATATCGACCATCAAAAAAAATATTTTTATCTCCCAAATATCCTACACTTTAATAATTATAAAATACATTTTTGTTATATGCCTTTCACGCTAGGAAAAAATCGACATAATTTAAAAAGCAAGAAAAAGCTTCGATACAAGCCTCAATATTTTCGAAGTTCTAAATCATTTAGACGTAAAATTTATACCAAAATAATCATCAACGTTTGCTTAAACTATACTATTATTGTTACTTTTTAAATCGTTATTATTGTATTTTAATTAATTAAATAAATGTACCGTGCGCCGGCCATCTGCGATCACTATCGCGCGAGTTGTTGATGTTGGACCTGCGTCAGTTGATTTCGCGCGCTGCGTCGTTTCGATACTATCGTAGTGTGGGTCGATTGCTATCATAGTTTGGGTCGATTGCCTGCGTGCTATAGCATCGTCAACTACGACCGCAGTTTTTGATCGATCGGTTTAAAACTATTTTATATAGTTATAATTTAGATCACGTCTCTTCCATCAAACATGGTAGGGACTACGAGTCTGTAGCATTGGCGCAATTGAGCAAACAAGAAATATTGTTATAGTAAAATGTGGTCTATTCATTAAACTAGATCATTGTTATTTGAGGACTTAACCTAATGGATGATCTTATTAAAGTTAAATGTCCTATTTCAGCTTTCGGAATAGATTTTGACACGGCCTTTCGACCAAAAAAAGTTAAAGGGTATAAATTCAGTGATTCAAGTGTAACATTAAATCAAAATCATGACTGGTTTTACCAAATCCCAAGCCAGCTTCATTTAGCAAATAAAAATGTCTGAATACTTGCCATAATATGTACTGGCCCAGATTATGCAGTAAAAGTACTAAAAATTTACAAAGACGACCAATTTTAGATTTTCAATATGTTACCCAAGTTACAAGCTTTTTATGAAAAGTGTGTACTGCTTGAACATTATCGACTCGAAAAAAGTTCGCTCAATGCCGTCGCAGCAAATATTTTTCTAATATAAAATATGGTAATTGACTGTAAGTACCGATTAAAAAAAATGAGTTACATTTCGTTGTTTTATTTATTAAAACAGGTTGCTAAACCGGTAGTAGACATAATCGATTATTAACATTCGATTACTGCGTAACAATTAAAATATTTATGTGGACTTTTTTGACACTAAATTTCATAAATAATAAAAAATATATCAAAATACTATATAATAATAAATTATATAATTATATAATAATAAATTAATAAGATAACATTAGAATGACACACAAAAAATTTCCATCCACTGAACTCCATCCTAAGAAAACTTGTATTATGGAAGATCAAGATCGTTTAATCGCCATATTCACAGTATTACAGTGCGAGCGAGTGAGTAGATATGAAAGAAAGTATCGGTACTTATTTATTCTGTGGTATCGGTCGCGTAGCTCGCCGCCCGTTCGGTGCGTAAACTACCTAAATTTGCGAAACGCCGAAATGTAAGAGGGCTCTTAAGCGTAACTACCAGTGACCGCTTCTAACTACGTAGTGCGCATGGATTATTGCGTATGCATAGACTTAATATATAAGTGTGCCCTCTAGTGAGATTAAAATAAGTCTAGCCTAGCGCTTCGGAATGTAGATGGAAGCACATAAAACGTATCATTTTGTTCGTAAAATAATGTTCTAAGTTGCATGCCCATGGAGAGAACTGAGCAGTGCTCGTAGTGTACCTATATCGGAACACACCCATAGTCACATATCACACCCCAAGGTCAAGGTCACACTAGTCAGAGTACTTATTTTTTCTTTCGTAATGGACGATTGTACTTTTGCCAGTGTCAAATAATAGGAAATGGATGAGTGCATAGAGCAACATTGGCCACCGGCGGATCGGAGGGGGGTAGCCATATGCAGACTATCCACTCTGTCAAAGTGTAAGTCCACGCGGTTCTATGTGTATAATAAAACTAGTAACAGACGTACTGCTCCCTAGACTATCTAGTTAATCTAGTTGCACGGCTGAATCGATGCCCTACAAAAATGGCAAATTGTTCAGTTTTTTCCTGCAAAAAGAGATCAGCTACGACAAATTTACAAAAAGATGGCTTTACCTTTTATATAAATGTAATTATAATAATGACGGTCGTGTTGTTTTGCATTTGTTTACCAACACAGGCCGCTCGTCCTCATAGAATATGCCAGATAAGTCGAGCAACTGATCCGAGCGATATTGTTATAATGTATGTAATCTATATGTGTGAAAATTTAAGTTTATTACATGCGTGTTTCGTAGTACAGACTTTTGTTTTAGTGTGCGCAGATTTTATCCCACAAAATTGACAGTCAGTTTTGTATCGCGGGAAAATGCTATGGCTACTCCCCTTCTGTCCGCCGGTGGTCTGTGTTGCTCTATGTGTGTATGTATGTAGTAGTAAAATTGAAAGGCATTTGCCAAGTTAGAAGGAATAAAAATAATTGTCATAATTTAACAACACACTCAGTCTCAGATTATGGGACAAAAGGCTATCTAGAAATTACACTGTTAAGTAAAGAATTATATTTCATATTACCGTGTACTGGCAGTGTAAAAATGTTTACTACCCCATCTTTCCGTGGGAATCGTTGGAGGCAATAGAGGGAACCTAAACCAGGAGATGGGCAGCGCCATCTTTCTTATAACAACTCAACATATTAAAAAAGTGCGTTTGCCAACCGGCCTGTCAAACGTGGCAATTATGGCAAAATTCCTTCTATGAGGCAAACTATTAGGGAGATCTTATGATCAGCAGTGGACATTTATAGGCTATAATGGATGGATTGATGAATACAGTGTTCTTAATTATAGGGGAAGACATATTTTTTTATAGGATTATATTACAATAAAAAACAAAAGATATATATTAAACATATGTATATTTGAATAGGTATAACGTAACATTATTTAAAAATGCAAATTAAACTTAAGTACTAATTTTTAATTAAGTATAAAACACTATATAAAATTAAATTGTAATTAACCATCGCATAATCGTAGATATAGTTCTGCATTCATTAGACTTTTCTTATTAATATGTGGTAGTGACATTTACTAAGAGATAGATACGAATATAATAGTACAATTTTTCTAAAATAGTTTTTACCGAATAATCGAATCATACTGGGGTTGATGTCGTGTTTCCTGTAGTTTCAAAATTAGTCAGGTTTTTAGTTGCCGCTGCAAAAAATACAAGTATGTATATGCAACAAATAATATGATAGTCTCAAATAAAAATCATCTAAACTATTTACAATAAATACGTTATACATCAAATTAAAACAAGTACTTATAACCGGAAGTATACAGGGTTATTTTTCAAAGAGTAGCCAAATTTTAAACTTAATTTCAAATATATGAATAATGATATACCGTTATTGCAGTTTTTTTTGAAAATATGAGTTAATAAGGCTTCTACTTTTATTTGAAATTATCTCAAATTGAATGTGATTTATGGGCAACAACGTTTTTGCCTACCGATCGACTTTTACGAATGTGTACGTGCACAGTAAAATCAGTTAAAAAATGCATTAACAAGATAAAAAAAAAAAACAGAATGTTTGAGATTTTTCATCATTAATTTTTTCACCATTATAATAATTTTTTTTTTTTTTTTTTTTTTTTTACCAAGGAGGCAGTATCAACATTTTTTAAACCCCGGTTGGATTTACTTTCAAATAAAGTGATAAGGTGACAAAATAAAAGATTTTTTATTTTTTATGTCATGAACTCTTTTCTAATACTAGAGTACAAATTTTGGCGTTCCTGTGACTTGCCAACATGCGAAGGAAATAGAAACACCATAGGGTTTAGTTGGTGCGAGTCCGGCATATCTCGTCATTGTCTCCGTGAGGCGCACATATACGTAAACATTTTCCATGTAAAAAATAATGCAGTGTCCAGAGAGCTAAAGATACGAGGACTAACATAAATGAAATGAGTTTTTGCACAAAAATGGACATTGTCTCGGATTCTAAACTAGGATCCGCGACGTAGTAGCCAAATACTCTGACCGCAAGACTAACCGTTGGTTAGGAAATTACATAATTTAGGTATGATTAACTTACGTTCTCGGCTTAAAAGCCTTGGTCCAGTTATAGCAATTAGTATCGCGCCTAACGGTGCGGACAGTACCACACTAAGTACACTCACGGCCAGAAGTATTTTAGCGAAGTTTTCTTCATCTTCAACCGGCAATCCAGCTGATTGTCCGTTATTTACTAGATCTAATGCTGCCGGTCCTAAAGCAGCCTGAAAAAACAATACAAAAATAGTTTTAATCAGGATATTATAGGAATAATGAAATTTTTACTTCATGTGCCGTGTAGTGGTGGTTAAGAATATCCACTACCCCATATCTTCCCGTGGGTGTCGTAAGAGGCGACAATGGGAAACAGGCAGGAGATGGGCAGCAGCATCTTCCTGATAACAGCAAAATTACAATTAAAAAAAGTCCCCGGAGGCCCCGCTATTACTGGCTACGGTGGCGACCATGGTAACGGCGGGGCAAGGGGTGCTAAGAATCTCCGGTGGAGGTTCGGTTGCCACCTAAAACGACTCGACCTGGCAACATACAACGCACGCACCCTGAGGACTGACGAGAAGATCGTGTAGCTGAAAGAACAGATAGACAAGTTACGCTGGCATATTATAGGATTATCCGATGTCCGAAGAGAGGGGGAGGACACGGTAATCCTCGAATCCGGCAACTTGCTCTATCACCAAGAGGGCGACCATCTGTCCCAAGGAGGTGTCGGATTAATCGTCCATAAGTCTCTCGTTAACAACGTTGTAAAGATTGAGAGTGTGTCGCCGAGCGTTACACTTATACTCAGAATCAACAAACGGTATTCGCTGAAAGTCATACAGGTTTACGCACCAACCTCGGCACATCCCGATGAGGAGGTGGAAGAAATGTATGAGGATATCTCTTAAAGCCATGCATTCCTCAAAAACCCACTATACGGTGTGAATGGGAGACTACAATGCAAAACTAGGCACAAGAGAGAACGGTGAGCTGAAAGTAGGGAAATTTGGAATAGGGCAACGGAACCCAAGGGGCCAGCAGCTGGCCGACTTAATTTTTATTTTTTATAGGAGAGGGGGCAAACGAGCATGCGGCTCACCTGATGGTAAGTGACTACCGCCACCCACGAACAACCGCAACACCAGGGGAATTTTAGGTGTGTTGCCAGCCTTTTAAAGTGGAGTAGGCTCTTTTCTTGAAGGTCCCTAAGTCGTATCGGTCCGGAAAAATCGCTGGTGGTAGTCGATTTCACAAGGAAGTTGTGCGAGGAAGAAAACATCTTCTAAATCGCACAGTGGTGGACCGCCAAACATCCAGGTGGTATGGATGGTATCGCAAGTTTTGTCACGATGTGCGATGGTGAAATTGAGCGGCTGGAATTAGTCCGAAATATTCCTCAACGCACTCCCCGTGGTAAATGCGATAAAATACGCAAAGAGATGCAACATCCCTACGCAGTGCCAGTGTATCGAGCCGATTAGAAAGAACTCGGTCGTCGACGATTCAAACCGCTCTGCGCTGGATGCGGTCAAGTAGAAGGAGCTGGCACTGGGGTGCCCCAGCCCAGAGATGAGAACAGTATTCCAAGTGAGGCCGGATTTGCGCTTTGTAAAGTTGCAAGCGATGTGCTGGCATGAAATACTGTCTCGCTCTGCTGAGCACGCCAAGCTTTTTAGGGGCCAGTTTGGCCTTCCCTTCCAAGAGACCACGAAACTGTACACTATTCGATATGTCGATGCCGAGGATCCCGATACTAGCTGAGGCAGCAACGGGAGTGCCTTGAAACTGAGGAGATACGACAAAGGGGTACTTTTTAGCGGTAAACGCGCAAACTTGTGTTTTCTGAGGATTTAACTGGACTAGATTTAGTCGCCCCCAATCCGAGACTTTGTTCAGCAAAGACTCGACTTCAGACACAAGTTTGTCCCGGTACTCGGCGACGTTTTCCCGAGAAATATTGGCACGGCCGGTATATAAGGCATCAGCAGTGCTGCCGTCCGCATAGCGATGAATGTTACTAGTTTGCAACATATCATTGATATGCAGTAGAAACAGCGTTGGTGATAGCACGAAGCCTTGTGGAACACCAACGTTGGATTGGATTTCATTACTTTGGAGAACTTTGGGTCTGAGTGGTCGCCTTTTTTAGGGATCGGGTGGACCAAAGCTGTCTGAATTCGGGACTACGCCTTGGGAGTAGGAGTAGCGGAAAAGACGCGTTAAAACCGGTGCCAACTCCGGCGCACACGTCTTCAGTACAATGGGAGGGACTCCATTAGGCCCACTTGACTTGCTGACGTCCAGGGAAAAGAGTGCTTTACGAACCGAGCGCTGTGTAAAACGTACATCCGGCATGGAGCACTCACACTGCGGGATGGTCGGCAGTGTATTCCCCCCGTCATCTAGAGTCGAGTTGGACGCAAAGAGAGAGCTTAAAAGATCGGCTTTCTCCTTTGCGGCATGGGCCAGTGAGTCGTCCTCTCTGTGCAGAGATAGAAGAGATGGCTGACAGAAGTTCCCTTGAACAGCCTTGGCGAGAGACCAGAATGCACGGAGAAAGAGGGACTCTTTATGATGAACTCCTTCTTCCAGAAGCGGCCCCACAGGAAGTGGACCTGGTCGAGCCCCGACGGTTCGACAAAAAATGAGATTGACTTCATTATGACGACCAGACGACAACTGTTCAGTGATGTCTCCGTGATCGCGAGGGTGAAAAATGGTGGCGATCACCGAATGGTTAGAAGCACACTGAACCTAAACATTAAGTTGGAGAGGTCTCGTCTATTGAAGTCAACGCTCCGTCCCCCTCGTGCTCTGTTCCAAAGTCCCGAAACCTTTCATCTCGTCATCTCGAGTTACAAAACCGTTTTTAGTGCCTAGAAGACTGCAATGAAGTGGACGATATGAATGATAAGCTCGTGGAAACTGTCCATGCGGTCGGAGCTAAGTTCTGCAAGACCCGCCGCAGAAGAACACAAAAACTCTCCGATCACATTCTTAATCTCATGGCTGTTGGACGGGAGATGAAGCTACAGTCTCCAGACTATGAAAAAGCCTTTGATTCCGTCGAAATTTGGGCTGTGCTGCAGTCCCTACAGAGGTGCCAAGTTGACTGTCGGTATATCGAAGTGCTGAAGTGTTTGTAAAGTAGGGCTACGATGGCTATCCGAGTATAGAATCAGAATACGAAACCTATCCAACTGCAGAGAGGTGTAAGACAGGGTGACGTTATATCGCCGAAACTCTCCACCAATGCATTGGAAGACGTTTTCAAGCTACTTAACTGGAAAGGATACGGTATTAACATCAATGGCGAGTACATCACTCATCTTCGATTTGCCGACGATATAGGCCTTATGGCAGAATCGCTGGAGGACCTAAGCACTATACTCAATGACCTCAATAGTGTCTCCCAACGGATAGGTCTTAAGATGAACATGGACAAACCAAAAATCATGTTTAACGTCCATGTCACACCTATGCCGGTAGTTGTTGGGAGCACTAAGCTCGAAGTTGTTGACCAGTATGTTTACCTGGGACAAATAGTCCGAGTAGGTAAGTCCAACTTCGACCGAGAGGTCAATCGACGGATTCAACTCGGTTGGGCAGCGTACGGGAAACTACGACACATCTTCTCGTTATACATATAAATTGTACAATCAGTGCGTGTTGCCAGTGATGACTTACGGATCTGACGCGTGGTCCTTCACTGCTGGCCGTATGAGGAAGCTCAAGGTCGCTCAGCGAGCTATGGAGAGGGATATGCTCGGGGTTTCTATGCACGATAAACTTAGAAATGAGGATATCCGCAGTAGAACCAAAGTAACCGACATAGCCCAACGGATTAGTAAGCTGAAGAGGCAGTGGGTCGACCATATAGCTCGAAGAATCGACAACCGATGGAGACGATAGGTTCTCGAGTGGCAGCCTCGTACCGGTAGGCGAAGTGTAGGGCGACCCCCACTAGATGGAGTGACAACCTGGTAAGACATGCAGGAAGTGGAAGATGAATGCAGGTGGCTCAGGACCGTGCTTTGTGGCATTCCTTGGGGGAGGCCTATGTACAGCAGTGGATTTACGAAAGGCTGTAATGATGATGATAAGGATTACTTCATGTGTATGTACTTGAACCGTAGCTTTAGCCAGCCAAGTAACACCAATAAAAATCTTTTCCTTCTTGTTTAAACCACAGCCAAAACTAACAAAAAACGTCGCGATCACGCGAAGCACCAAACAGGATACCAGACAAATTGTACCCATTTTTATTACTTCTCGATCCAAAGTGTTAATCTGTAAATAAAGAGACATAAAAATAATATATTTTATATGTACTATATTCGATAGAAATATTTAATTATATAGATTTTGTATTTCTACATTTTTTTATAGGATAGGGTGACAAACCAGCACACAGTCCACCTGATGGTAAGTGGTAACTGTGACCCATAATTATCTACATTTATCCTCAATAAAGACTCAAGATGCAGATGCGTTGTCACCCGTGAGGACTAAGATGGAATGCCTCTTTACCAGTAAAAAGGATCTCCGGTTCTCAACACTCACCATACGAAACACAGCAGCGTTAAGCTGCTATTTTACGCTAGTTTTCTGTGAGAGCGTGGTCCTTCCCCGGTCGAGCCGACCCACTCGTGCTACAACTATACTACTAATATAGCTGCAGCATTACTCTACCACGTAAAGAACACACACAGCCCTCTTTACTGGAAATGAGGCATTCCATCTTAGTCCTCACGGGTGACAACGCATTTACATTTTGATTTGTAATAGAGGATAGATGTAGATGTCTATGGGCCGCAGCAACCACTTACCATCAGGTGGACTGTGTGCTCGTTTGTCACCCTTATCCTATAAAAAAAAAACCACATTCATCTGGATGATTTGTATGTTATAAATTATTGGAGTAATGTACTCGTATGTACTATAAAAATAATAATGCTGAGATATTTTAGCAATATTTATTCAAATTATAATACGAAGTATAACTTTTAAAATAACGTTATTTTAGTCGCCCCTTACTAATACTGTATTAAATATTCGACAATTTATAGAAAGAACGTGCCACTATTTGTGAATCTATGCTAGAATGTATATAAAACAATTAATATATATATAGCTAAACAGATTTAAATTACCGTTATTTGTGCTCCAGTAAATGCGAAAAGTATGGGCTCAAAGAAAATCCATAAGATTCTGAAGATATTACTGACTGGATTTTTGTTTATTACCCATCCTTGTTGTTCCCAATAGTACGCGGCAACAAAACCAGAAGACACTATTGCTAAAGGCCCTGTTTAAATAAATATGCTATGTAGTAAACTTCGAAATAATTGAAAATGTCATCAATTCAATTCAATTCTATACCTGCACCACTCCATCCAATCAAATTTGAAATAAATAGTGCGAAAAGACCGCCTAAAAATAAAGCTAAGAATCGCAACGGTACTACGTAAATATCACCCTTTTCAGGAATAACAGACGTAATAGCTCCCCATAGGGAACCGAAGAGAACACCGGCTATAATGGATAAGGGTCCCTGAAATATGAAAAATAAGCTTTAAAATTTTCAGCGGGCCTATCATAACGAACAATGATGTACAACCACAAAGATACTCCTAATATCGCTTGGCTCTCACTTTTTCCACATGTTAAATACAATTATTTTGAAAAAGTATTTACATTCCTTTTTAATTTATACATCTATAATAGTCGTACTCGTATTGGTAGATCAGGAGTATGAAGCCTTGAATTTCAAAGCTTATTACAAGTAATTTGAGTAAATACGATTGTTTCAGTCGCTTTCGTGGCGGCGAAGATAATGTCGTGGGAAAATCTTTTCCCACGACCGAAAAATGGTTTAGCTTTCCATTGACGTCTGTCGAGTTGGGGGTTGATATTTTTTTTCTGCCGACTTCCAAAAAGGAGACGGTACTCAATTCGAGTGTATGTTTTTTTTTATGTGTGTTACCTCATAACTTTGTACTGGGTGAACCGATTTCGATGATTCTTTTTTATATGAAAGCTGATAGTTCTCGTGTGGTCCCATATGAATTTGATCAAGGTCAGACCAATGGTTATAGAGTTATTCTTAAATAACTTATATTGAAGACGCTTATATTGAAGTCGGCTATACAAAATTTTTAATTTTAAATTATTTACAAAAAGGTTACATTATTATAAGCACACACACAAAGTTTCGCATTCGGAGACGCGAGCTTTTTGAGAAAAAAATTATTGAAATTCAATTATTTTTGCAATATTTATGTCAATCCCTACGGTAAAACTGACGGTATTTTGTATTGTCATTGTCATCGTCAGTAGGGATATTGATTCTTTCCGAAAAAGATCGGTTCTTAAATGGATTTACAAAAAATCGATTAGATATTTTTTCATGTTTGCATTTATAATGTAAATATAAATCCACTTCATGAGAAAAAAAATCCCCTTCATCAGACATAAATAGGAGGACTGCTTAAGAGGGATTTCTGTATCTATTTATACGTGGTAGATCCATGCTGCAGCTATATTACTGGTATAGTTGTAGCACGAATGGTTCGGCTCGACCGGGGAAGGACCACGCTCTCACAGAATACCAGCGTAAAATGGCAGCTTAACGCTGCTGTGTTTCGTATGGTGAGTGTAGAGAACCGGAGACCCTTTTTACTGGAAACGAGGCATTCCATCTTAGTCCTCACGGGTGACAACGCATCTGCATTTTGATTCGTAATCGAGGATATATGTAGATGTCTATGGGCCACAGCAACCACTTACCATCAAGTGGACTGTGTGCTCGTTTGTCACCTTAATTCTATTAAAAAAAATCTATTTTGAGACTGCAACAATATATCAACCCCCAACTCGACGGACGTCAATGGAAAGTTGTACCCGAAAAATATTTATTTTTTATTTATAACTTTATTGTATTGAGATCGAGTGCTAAAGGACTGTATAGTTGGACTCATAGTTTTGTAACTAATATTGAAGCCGAGGTTTTTCCTTTCTCCGCTGTATGCATATTTCCAGCACGAAGCAAGCGCGCGACATTCGGTAGGCAAAAACCTACTTTATTTGAAATGTTTTTGTTTATTATAAGGAAATAAAGGATCTATATAAAAATCTGATATAACATGATAACATGTTTTTGAATTAGATTCTATATATGGTTATCGCTTAAAAAAAAATCGAACGTCAGTTTTTTCTCTGCAAGAAAATTATAATTTTTTATCTCGATTAATATAAAATATTTTAAAAATCTATTCGATTATGAATTTAATTGAGTATTTCTTTTTTTTAATATACACTACACTCATGAACAAATTTAAAGGAACGCAAAAAAACCTTAAGTTAATCGGGGTAATTTACTGTAATTTACGGTATACAAGATTCTTAATTAAGACGAAAAAATTATATACGTAAAAATATTACCCTTTTTCTACCCCTCGCTCTCTCTTTCTCTCTCTACCTCCCTTTCTCTCTCTCTCTCTCTCTCTCACTCTTACTATCTTTATTAATTTTATTACTGGGTAACTTATTTTACCATACGATCACAATTGTGTACAAACCACAATTATGTTGTAAGTTGCAGACCCCGTAGAGAACATAGCATTTAATATAATAGCGAATACAGCGACACTAATCGAATCATCAATTGCTGCAGCAGCTAGCAAGAGTGTAGGTATGCCTTTAGCAACTCCATAGCCGACGTCTCTTAACCTGAATAGACATGGAACAACAACTGCCGGCGACACTGATGCTATCATTGAACCTAAAAGGAAACCTGGAAATAGTTGTCCGTTACGTTACATAAGAAAAAAAAAGATTTTGTACTTTTGATGAACTGTAAATGAAAAATACTTAACCAATTTAAAGGGATGCATTGATTAAATAATAAAAACTTTAACACAAATATTTTAACTTTTTAATAATTTAATTTAAATCTTGATTCTCTTACTCTACAAAGAAATATAAAATTAATATTTGGTCTGAAAGCAATCTACATTGTTGTTGAAGCATTTTATACTGTATGGTACATGGTTAAAGGTCAAAGTCAATAAATAATAATTAGACTGCTTACTCCAAATCCACGGTAAGGATAGTAAGTAATGAGAAGTAATTGCAATAGCGATACATTCGACCAGCCACGGTAATAAGCCCAGCTGTAGTACTGCCGTATAGTGCTTCTTCAGAACAGCCGCGTTGAGGCCTAAACCCGCTCTAGTAAGTATAATCACTAAAGCGATTTTCCTATAAACATTTAAACTATTTATAATTCAACCTGAAAGTGCTTTTCGCCCGTTTTTGCATCCTACGATTTTTCATTCCATTAAGAGTGTTTTTTCATTGGCCGATACTGATAACGATATGTCGCCACCGGCATGCTTCATCGACACCGAATCGACCTAGAACCTTTTTCATCCAACGACACGCTACCGATATCGTGGCATAAAGAATTTTCATGGTCATTCAGAGATTCAGATTGCTATATTGTATTTACTCGATATGACAGACAACAAATTATATTTCTTATATTTGCTTTATCACTGTAAAGAAAGAAAAATTGTTTTGGTCTCATTCAATAGTTAAAGTGAGACACGTTGAAGAAACTTACTAAACGTTATTAGAGAAGCTAGATGAAAATCCGAATAAATTTTGCGAACATTTTCACGTATTATTAAATATAAACAAACAGAATTGATTAATTATACTTTTATAAATAAAATCGTATATTAATAATCAATAAACAGCCGATAATATTACGTATAGATTAATTTATGTAAATAATATACAAACTTGGTTCTCTTCAATGGAAATTAATGTCCTTTGTACTCGTATCTAAGCGTAATAAAGAACGTTACATATTCTTGATTTTATTGATTTTATCGAAACGATTCTGTGGGTAACGGACGTGGTACCGATATGTCGTCGGGGATATCATGTCGGCGACGACATAACGGTGTCGTGTCGGTTAATAAAAAGCATCATAGGTCGCTACATACATTGCAGTGCTTCAAAATCGGTGAACCTGTTTCGGCGCCGATATATCGTTATGTGGTCAATGTAAAAACGCTCTTCTAATAATGTGAAGTTAAGGTAAGAATTATTCAGTAAATAAAGAATATTACCTCGTAAAGACAATGAGACAATAAAGAACGTAAGCACGCTGACTTTTTACTGGGTTTTTATTACGATTGTGAGGGATCAGTATTGTTGTCTTTTGTGTATCGTGCAAAAATACTGTCTCGTTGGTCTAGTGATCGTAAGCGCGATTGTTGATCATGAAGTCCCGGGTTCGAATCCCGGGTCGCGCAAAATCAGTTATTGTGCCTGTACCTGTGCTTGCGCATACACTTGGGTACTATAATCTTGTCCTACGCAGATGGCTAGTCTCCGTTGAAGACTGGCCGCCGTGGCCAAAAATCGGTCTGGAGGACATCATTCAAAAACTAAGAGCGGCAGACGTTAGGTAATTAATAATACAAAAACAGAAACGTTTTTATTGAATATAAATTATAAATAATACTTATTGAAAGTCACTCTTTTGTTTAATTACCACTGGTTCGAAAAAAACCTCTGTCCAGGGAAGAACCCGCAAGAAACGTTTTTGGGGATTTAAAAAAAATAACAGCTTACAATCATGTATGTTACACAATAACATATAACAAATTAGAAATAGCTTGGTAGCGATCACTTCATTCCCAGGGGTTATTATAATCCATAAATTATTCCTTAATATTGTAATAACCCTTTTTATACAAACTTAGTTTCATAAAGTTTTTGAACTTTGAACGTTCAAAATTTGAACGTTCAAAGTTATATATTGTAATTTCCTCCAAACCTAATTTTAGACAGTCTCAACGGACACGAGCCATCCGCTCTGTCACCACTTTCCGATGGGAGGACAGTGTGATACGACCGGAGAGAGAACAGGCGCAAGAATACCAACTTTATTTGCTTTGCGAGACACGCGGGTTAAACACCGCTAAATTTCTAACTCCAGGCTATTATTGAGCATTTCTCGACAGAAAAATTTAATAGCTGATTGCGTTTACGACCACGAGAGCGAGACCAACGTGATAGTGAGATTAAATAATTCATAGCATTGGAATGTGGTTGGTGGAGGTGCAGTTAATATTGCTTTGGATGCTACTTTGTAAATATAAATTTGTTTAAAATTCTTTTTAAAATGTGGTCGAAATATTCCGACTTAAATCATTTCTTTGTTTTGTTTTCTTGCTTGATTAAAACTATCGATACTGTTAGTTTTTTTGTTGCTGATTTTTGCAATTTAACACCATTTAACATACATTAAAAATCATCTAAATTCGGAGCTATAGTATTTAAGTTTAGCAGCAAGGTGCCTTAAATTTCAAACTGTACGATAACATGGTTTTTAAACAAATGTAGATATTAATTTAATAGTGAAAAACATCCCATAAAAGCCTACCTCGTCTACTTTATCTCGTCTCGCTGTCTTTGCTACTATATGATGTAAGTATGTGAAAAAAAAAATGATTTTAAACTTAGAATAAGGACAATTTTTACGCATTTGTTTAAAACATAAGTACTCAAAACTAAAACAAACAAACAAAAATACACATATAAGGGAAATTTTGGTAATATATTATTGTGATTAAAAATACTATATTCACTGCCTTTATAATTTAAACCAGGCTTTTAGAAGTTTATGGGAGTGCTAATTCTAAGATCATTTAATCTTGCATTATTGGTAACATTGTATAATATGCGATCAGTATACCTCAGTTTTATCAACGATACACTTATATATATATAATTTTATTGGCTTAATTTTTATTCAGGACGCTAATAGTTTCATAGTTCATTAAATATGTAAAAAGAATTAAAGATATTTTAATGAGACCATAATGATTGTTTTGTAACTAAACGAATTTTAAAATATTAATTGAATGCAATGAAATATAAAAATAAAACAATCGAACCTTAAATCCTGGTTGAGTTTTCTATATTCATCGGTCATGTGCACCAAATTGAGGTTTTGAAACATTATTCCAGTCAGTAGCATTCCAATAAGTGCTGGCAACGTAGTTATCTTTAGCCACAACCAACCAATTAAGTACGCTGCGATGACTAGAATCGTCATACTGAAAAGTTCCCCATTCAAGGAAACCGCTTCTCCCAGTTCAACATAAAGAATGCCCCAGGTGAGGAGGACTGAAAGTAAATATTTTAGTATAAGTACAAAGTGTGTGTGTGTGTGTGCTTTGTAGCATTCCTTGGGGGAGGCCTATGTTCAGCAGTGACTTGTGAAGGACTGTAATGATGATGATGATGACTTAGTGTGTAAATACTATATCAACTTTTACTGAAATAGATTAATCTAGAAAGCTAAAAGTGTGGTTATTATTATACTACCACATTCTTTTACTACTTTCACAACAATCGCATTATGATTTCGGAATTAAATTAAAGATGAAGTACCTATTCATCATATATGTGTTAAGGGCTAATAAATAATTTGTTTAAACGTTGCTAATTTGGAAGTAAAGACTTTAGAATTGAGTTGGGGGTGACTCGAACTTTAGGCCTAGTCAATTTGAATAGCCTATCTAGTAGAGGATCTCATGGGAGTCATGGTTGAATAGGGGCAAAAAGTTCTCAATACACTCCTAGGGGGTCAAAAAGGCCAAAAACCTAAAAATTAAAAATTCTTATGTCGGTTATAACTCCACCTTCGGAGGTTCTTACAGTCTTTACTTCCCGCATCCCGCTTGTTACCGTTTCACACAAGCTGTTACGATCAGTGAAAACTATTTTTAATATTTTTTTCAACTTGCAGTAATAATAACTGTAAAACATTATTTACTACCACAAAACTTATTAAAACAACATAAAATTCATGTTACTCAACTTTGTAGGTACTAAAAAAAAGGAGAATAGGTTCTCAATTCTACTGCATGTTCTTTTTTGTATACACATTACATTACCTTACGCGATATTTTCATCGATTGTGAACGAATTTTAGTGCTTTTTTTATTCAATACTAGCTGTTCCCCGCGACTTCGCCCGCGTGTTGTTTGGAGTTTTAATTTTTTTGCGTGGAACCCTAATTCTTTTTCTAAAATAAAACTAGCCTAATCTACTCCTTGTGACATCACCTATCTGCCAGTGAAAATCCCATCAAAATCGGTCCAGCCGTTTCGGAGATTAGCCGGAACAAAGAGACAGACATACGGACAGACATACAGACAGACAAAAACTTTAAAAATTTTTGTTACAAAGCTGTAATTTTGGCATTACAAACAGACACTTCAATTTTATTAATTTGTATAGATTTTATATTTCAGGTCTTGTGCCATATAAATTCTACCTATAAGGGTGAGAAAATACGGAATGATGATAAATACTAGATACTTACAAAATAGTAAGATACAGAGCCGTTGTGCTGATTGTCTATAGGTAGGGAAAAATGGAAATGGGACAGTCTTCGCCCACCATGACGGTTGCCATGATGGCGTTGGGTCCTCTTGATGACATCGTAAGCACAGTTTGTGCCACCACCTGCATTGTTTTAATTTTAAGTAATATAATGTGGTATTATGGTACACTAATTTTTATTTATGATAATATAAAGTATCTGCGTGAAGTCCGCGTAAGTAAGAGAATCTATTAATCGTATCGGATTTCGTAAGAGACGGCTGGAAAAGACCAAAAAGACTTCGGGGCGTCCTATAAATGGCGGTTTACAATTTCTTGTTATAATTATAGTAAAGTTACAGCCTATATACGATCCACTGTTTGAAACAGGCCTCTTCTCATTCCTGACAGGGTTTTAGGACAAGGAAATATCTGCCACGCTTTCCCAATACGTGTTAGCGAACTTTACACGTCTTCGAAATATTTTTTTAATTTATCAGATATGCAGATGTCCTGACGACGTTTTACAACAAATATTGTTTTGTGTATTGTTAAGATTGCAATTAAAAATGTCATTGTTAAAGGCTGCTATCGAACCGGGTTACTAATCCATGTCTAGCAATGAACAGTTGCGGACTGGTAAAAAAGTTAAAATAGCGATATTTTACCAAATAACCAATGACAATCATGATATAATTGCGTCCGTTTCAAAATTTGCAAAAATACCGTGGATGATATATAGATTGTTAAAGTTTTTCAGTATTATACAAAATATGAATAATATTGCGTTATAAAACATACCTGTAGTTTGGTGATTCTGCATCATCTGAGGAGAAAATAAGAAATCCTACATAAGAATTATAATAGAAAATCGTACTCAGGAGATTCTTCCGATGACGCTATATATTCTATAATCGCCGCTGAGCCACTATAGCGTAGTACTACTTAATACACATTAAAATTATGTTCTCTTTTAAATCATAACTTACATACACATTAGACGTGGTAGGGCCATGCTGCAGCTATATTACTTGTATAGTTGTAGCATGAATGGGTCAGCTCGACCGGGGAAGGACCACGCTCTCACAGAATACCAGCGTAAAATAGCAGCTTAACGCTGCTGTGTTTCGTATGGTGAGTGTAGAGAACCGGATACCCTTTTTACGGGAAAAGAGGCATTCCATCTTAGTCCTCACGGCTGACAACGCATCTGCATTTTGATTCGCAAACGAGGATAGATGTAGATGTCTATGGGCGACAGCAACCAATTAATATCAGGTGGACTGTGTGTTCGCTTATCACCCTTATCCTATAAAAAATACGTGTTCCAAAATTCAACGTTAAGCAGGGAGTCGAAAAATTGCTGACTACCCAGAGGAAAAAATTCTGACTGACATTCCCTGGTGCCCGCTTAATGTTGACTTTTGGGAAACGTGGTATAATAATAAATGATCGTTGGTGCAACTGTTAGTGATCGATATGGTCAGGAATCCGAAAAATTGAAGCAGACAGGTAAGGTCATACGTAAGCTATACCTTATACAGCCTCTAAAGAATACGTTTCTTAATTTGCCTAATTGTTCTGAGACAAAAAATTTCTATCTCTAAAAATTTGATAGGGCTTCGTCAATCAGTGACATTTTATATACATAGTCCTTTAACTAAAAGTTAAAAATATAAATAGAAAAATACATAAAGAGAAAAAAAAGTGTTAGTAATATTTTTAATGTCGTTTCATAGTCGTTTTACAAGTGATGGGATGATGCTGAAAATATAAATATATGACTGTTCTAAGGTTATGCAATATCTACACAGAGAACAGAAATACCTATACGTAAACAGTTATAAAGTATGAATCAATTATTTACAGTTGAAACATAATCTGGGGTTGTTAACCATAGGTACTATGTATCCAACTATATCCGAATATTATCATTCGTAATTTTTTTAAATTCATTAAAACTTCATTATACACAGAATGGTGTATAATAGTGGGCGAAACTATTTTAATACAAGGGGTCAAATAAAGGCTCAAAACAGCAAAAAATCCTTTAAAATTAATATGGAACGTAACATAGCGTAAGCGTGTCATATAACATATAAGTATGTTGTTTTTTCATTATCTGCTTTATTATTACAGATAATACATTCAAAAATACTGTATCTGTTGCGCAACCTGTTTACTGTAATAAAGCCGGACCAATATCAATTTCCTTTGTTTATTTTAACAACAATTATCTTAATTTATATTAGATATTGATAATCGTGGTTACCTTGCTTTACTATTTACTTGCAATTATCTACGTAGAGTAAATTTCAGCTTAATCTAGATCACAAAATATAATACTGGCGTCGTATAAATAAACTTTTAAATTAATGAGTTTTACCCATCCTCTTACTAAACATTGCATTTCACTTTTTTGGTATATTTATAATATTACGTATCAACAACTTTTTGAAAGGGATTACTATTAATTCAGTTTTTTCTGTATTAACAGATAGGTACAAGACATAATTGATGCTTTAACAATACATTGTAGAACTATTATGTAAAACAATTACATGCGCTTTTGTATCAGATCGACTCTGAATTACTCTACAACCACGGACGTACCTAATAAATCTGCAAAAATATCCCGACTTAAATCTTAAGGCTTTAGATAGAAAAGAGAAATACATACACACAAACGTACTATCTTAACGAAATATGAACATAAATTGCAAATATTAATTAAAGAACAACAGCCTAAAAAAGAAAAACAAGTTGAAAATAAAATTTTATTTAATTTCTCTGCTCTCTTGCCAAAGAAGCATGAAGTTAAAGATTGCACCTCACAGACCCACACCATAGCGTCGTTACGCTTGCAAATTTTTAATAATGTTATATAAATATCACACTTATTGTGAGTATTATTTTCGCTAAATTTTAAAGAAATGGATGTAACCAAATATTTATATAATTTGTAAACGTTAAAAAAGCAATGATATGGCCACGTTCACACGGCTATAGTATTCCCGTATACCGTACACTAGATTTTATCGAACATAGTAGTTGCAGTAGACAATATGTCAAACTGTTCACATGGAGTCCATACGGGAAAATGTCTTGTTCGAGATACATTTTTTTACCGTATACATGTGAAAAAAATCGAATCGAATGGTCGCCGTGTGAACGTGGCCTTCGTCTATGATTCATTTGACAGCGCAATGAGTACTTATGGAATCTATGTTAGTGTTAAAATAGTTAGCGTTGAAAACTAAACAAATTATTTACCAACAAATGTGTAAAGACGAACACCTAGGGGCATACAAAAAACAATTAATTATTACTGATAAAGTAAATATAAAAAAAATAGTCATATAAAAAATTAAAGCTACAAACCTTTTTGATGGGTAATTGGTTCCATGGTTATGATTCACCTTATTCTGAAAGTATTTGAAAGTGATTAAAAAATATCGCGTATTTTCAGACTGAGCCTAAGGTTGACCGCGTAGTGGCGGTGTGAGAATATATACTACCACGTATTGTCCCATGGGTGGCGTAAAAGGCATAAGAGGCATCAGTCAGAGGCAACAACAAGAAAATTAAATACTACGGTTACCAGTACTTATGCCAAGCGTGGCAACTATGGCAAATATCCCCTTATGAGGGAGGACTTTGTTCAGCAGTGGATACTTATAAGATATAATGAATGAACTTTTCAGTACAGAGCGTTTGGCGGAAAGATCAGGCATTCGGGATACTGTAATATAAGATCGTGCGTGCGGCATATCGGCACATGTGGCATACATTCTAAGCTTTCGACACTTATGTCATTAATTCAAATTGAATATCACTTAAAAACGAGTGTCATGTTTGTACGTTTTTGTTATGCAAATTAAACGCCCCATGCTCCTACACGCTGCATTTACTGCACTCACTTAAAAAAAGAAGGATGTAAAGAAAATCACTTTAAAATTAAGTCGTGTACGATATCTCACTGGTAAAAATATTATTTTATAACCTCATAAGTAAGTAAGTCCGTACTAACGTATTTCTCTAATTTCTCCCTAGATAGTGAGATGCTAAAGCTAATATTTTTTTTACGATATAAATTATATCTATCATTGCCACGATTCCATGATTTGTTTTTTTCTCTATAATAATAATATATTTCAAAAACTAGGACTCTTTTCAAAACAAAAATTGCCTTATTATACCGCCGGTATCAGACATCCAGCAAATAAATTTAAAGAATAAAAAAACATACAGACACAATCCTTCTTATAGAAGTTTGCCACCTTGCGTTCCCTTTATCGTCTTAAAAATTTCCTGCCTTTCAAAACCAAGCTTACTTTTATTTATTCCCTTATTCTACCTGTTATAGATTATGCAGATGTATGTTACCCAGATTTGTCACAAAATCTTATAAACAAGTTGGAGCGCCTTCTAAATAATTCCATAAGGTTAATTTTCGGTTTACGTAAGTATGAGCACATATCTTCCACCGTTCAATGCTTAAATGGAGGATACATATACGTCAAAGGTTGCTCTAAATGCCCTAGAACTTTACTTGTACTTTATTCAATTTTAAACGATATAAAGTCGCCTTCTTATCTTAAGGATAACTTTCATTTTCTTCATTCGATTGACGGTCGAACACCACGACAGTCAAACCGTGTGAGGATAACTTTTCCGCAGCATAGGTCAAATTTTTTCAGGTCCTCTTTTACGATACAAGCTATACATCTTTGGAATACCCTCCCCAATAGTATTAAGAATGCAACAAATAAAAACTCCTTTAAATTACTTCTACGACAGCATTAGCAGAGGGCAACTACTAACTGACATAATTTTTTTGTTTTACTCAAATATTTATTCATTTAAGGCCGGCCACATACATACGGAGTTCGTTTCGGCATTCCGTTTCGGAAATCCCGAAACGAATTCCGTATGTATGTGGCCTTGTATGAAATTACCGTACGTGTGTGTCCCGAATCGGAATTCCGAAACGGAATCCCGAAACTAGATTCCGTAAATGCACCACACACATACGTTTATTTCCGTCCGGAATAACAAGGTTCAGTTGAGAGACGCTAGCAATTGAGTCTAGACATTCTGCCAGCGAATAATGACGATTTTTAACTGCGATTCCATTGTCTTTTTTTTATAGAATTAGGATGATAAACGATCACACAGTCCACCTGATGGTAAGTGGTTGCTGTGACCCATAGACATCTACATTTATCGTCAATAAAGAATCAGAATGCAGATGCGTTATCAACCGTGAGGACTAAGGTGGGATGCCTCTTTTCCAGTAAATGGGGTCTCCGGTTCTCTACACTTACCATACGAAACACAGCAGTGTTTAGCTGCTGTTTTAAGCTGGTATTCTGTGAGAGCGTGGTCCTTCCCCAGTCGAGCCGACCCATTCGTGCTACAACTATACAAGTAATATAGCTGCAGCATGGCTCTACCACGTATAAAATGTTGCTATATTATTGTTACTGGGTGCATCCCCTTATCACCCTAAGCTTGCAATATATTCAATATTATGTAAAAAGATCTATCTATCCAGAGATATATTTTTTAAATATGGATCTGTAAACCCTTTCGACTAATTATTAAACAAAATAATTAATAGAAACAGGCGTTACTTTGCGGAAATCCATTATATAAAAGCTTTTACAAAAATTTACTTCGCAAATATCCGCGTTATAAAATAAAATGATGTGTCTTACCTAGTACGAAGAGCACCACCCGCCCTCCCTCAATTGCGTGCACTATCCCCATCACCACTAATCCCAGCACCGCTACTCCCAACACCACTACACTAGGCAAGACACACCACTGACGATAATACGACACGTGTTTCGCCTCTACACGAGGCATCCTCAGGTGATATAGAATCTACGGTGGCTAACCGCTAAGTGAGCGGCGAGCCAAAACAAGTGCCTTTTATACAGACCGATGATGCAACCGCTCTCTACCTAAGGAGCGAGCGACTGCGTCATGCGATAAAACATGCGACCAATCACCGCTGGACTTACGCAGCCGTTTGTAAAATTAAAAACAAACCGCCGCGCAACGCCCACCCTCCAACCACGCAACCAATCGCCGATCACCGTGAGGGTGACAAACGACCATATTGCGAGGCTCTCTATTATTAGAGAGCAGGCTTGAAGATATTTAAGAGAGGTGAGTTAGTAACATTTGTTTGTTTATTCAGCAATGCAACGGTATTATTATTACTTTTTAATATCTCTAACTGTTCCAGCACATACAGCCGCAGCCCTTTATTACACGTATGTAAGACTTTAAAGGATAAGATAGATACGTTGGATATTCGTCAAAAGTCAGGTGTTTACAAACTTGTTTGTGACGAATGCCACGCCGTTTACGTGGGTCAGACTGGTCGCAATTTCGAGACACGTTATAAAGAGCATTTAGCCGCGTACAGGAATTGCAATCCCGATAAATCCCATTTTGCCAAACATCTTTTGGACACTGGACACAACCTAGCCAACGACCACTCCTTTAAAGTCTTACATACGTGTAATAAAGGGCTGCGGCTGTGTGTGCTGGAACAGTTAGAGATATTAAAAAGTAATAATAATACCGTTGCATTGCTGAATGAACAAACAAATGTTACTAACTCACCTCTCTTAAATATCTTCAAGCCTGCTCTCTAATAATAGAGAGCCTCGCAATATGGTCGTTTGTCACCCTCACGGTGATCGGCGATTGGTTGCGTGGTTGGAGGGTGGGCGTTGCGCGGCGGTTTGTTTTTAATTTTACAAACGGCTGCGTAAGTCCAGCGGTGATTGGTCGCATGTTTTATTGCATGACGCAGTCGCTCGCTCCTTAGGTAGAGAGCGGTTGCATCATCGGTCTGTATAAAAGGCACTTGTTTTGGCTCGCCGCTCACTTAGCGGTTAGCCACCGTAGAGTCTATATCACCTGAGGATGCCTCGTGTAGAGGCAAAACACGTGTCGTATTATCGTCAGTGGTGTGTCTTGCCTAGTGTAGTGGTGTTGGGAGTAGCGGTGCTGGGATTAGTGGTGACGGGGATAGTGCACGCAATTGAGGGAGGGCGGGAGGTGCTCTTCGTACTAGGTAAGACACATCATTTTATTTTATAACGCGGATATTTGCGAAGTAAATTTTTGTAAAAGCTTTTATAAACAAAATAAGATGAAAAGTTACGAAAAGCTATACACATATAAGATTAAATGTAAAAACGTACATAAAAACACCTACTCACTTCTGTCGTGCGACGAACACTGAGCGCGTTACGTACGGAATTTACGAATGTGTGTTGCGACTCATACGAAATCTATGGAAGACTTGCGTTCGGAGCGGCTTTTTTCCGTTCAAAATTCCAAACGCACAGGCGGTCATACGGAATCTCTAATCGGAGAAAATTCCGCACGGAGAATTACCGTCCGGGTGTGGCTGGTCATAGATTTTATATGGACTTGCTGCATTTGGAATTCCGCATCGGAATATCAAAACGGAATCCCGAAACGGAATTCCGTATGTATGTGGCCGGCCTTATATATTAATACGGAGATTTATTTATAAAGGTTATAAGCATGTATACACATTACATATATGTATGTATGTATTATTGTATGTAATTATATGTTATATGTATGTATATTTAATTATGTATCTTTATGTTGTGTATGTATGTACTATGTATATATTATATTTTAATATATGTCCACTTTATTTATGTATTATGTTTCGCACCTGCCTACAATTGTCTTTGGCATCCAGGGTTGACTGGCAGAGAATGCGACATGGCATCAAGTCCGCCTTATGTACCATTTCCCATTTAAGTTTTTAAATAAATAAATAGTTCTTAAAAAATTATTGGTTTTTCGGAGTAGGAAACATGGTAATACGAGATGATGATCTTCAACTTTATATAGGTATAATCAGTCCGAGCTGCAGAGTTGTCTTTTTTATTATTTATTCTTTATTGCATTCCTCAATCTAAAAGAATACAAAGGGCGGACTTAATGGCTAGAGGCATTCTCTACCAGTCAACCCATGGAGTGGTGAGAATTTGACGTAGGTGCGGCAATATAGAATAAAATAACACTACACAAAATGATAATTAACTACATACTTTTTCACGCTCTTTAAAAGTTTGAGGTACAGCGCCAGCAATTGCCCTTGATCTTTACTTGCTTTAATTAATATAAGTTCTTACATCACATAATTAATTGAACTTGTCGTCTCAGATCGGCTACGCGGGGCAGTGACAATGATCTGAGTGTATTGCGTCAATCTGCCTACCAAGTTTTATGATTACGGCAAAAATAGAGATATCCAGCAATAATCGCGTTTACCTTAGGGCCTATTTGAGTAAGTATGAACCTCTTGCTTATTTCTTGTGGGTGTACACATACACACAGTAGGTATAGTACACTATGT